AAAAAAATAAGAGCAAATAAACAAATTATATATATACATATATATATATATATATATATATATATATATATATATATATATATATATATATACTATTTTAGGAATTGCCCCGAAAATAAATCATTCTGTTAAAATGTCCTTATGCTATTACATGTTTGAGAAACGCATGCATATTAGTTTATTTTCCTGTTTTCGCCTGTTTTGTGTCTTCACTCACGTACGAGTGTAGTTCGACACACAGTTATCCATTTTTCATTTTACAGGACAGCCGGAAAAGACGAAAAAAGATTGACGAGTTTTACGATGAACCGAATTTTTCATTGTACGAGTTGCTTCATTATTGTATTGTACCACATGGCCTCTTATGGTAAGGAAAGGCGACCAGACGCTGCTGAACATAATAGGCTGTCGAAAGAGTGCTCACCAACGACAAAGTCGTTGGGTTTAAACTTCTGGCTGGCTACGTCTTCGGGTTATCATTACTCCCTAGGGGGGAGTGATCTGTAGCGGTAAATTAATCCACAAAGTCAATAGCCCTATAAATCTTTGACGTTTGATGTTGACCACAGTTTTAACGGACTGACCTAGCTGAAGGCGCTTGATCACGCATCCGCATCAGGTCAGAGTGGGAACGCAGAGCTCAACTCCTCCTGCGACCGCTAGTTGGTCTAGATCAGTCACTTCTCGATAAATTGATAATCAATCAGATATATCTTGAAACGTCCTGGATTCTGACATTCGATTTCACTGTGTGGGCACGATTCAATCATAGGTGTCACTGGTTAAACTGTTGTCAAACTCCAAATACTTATGGCATCTTCACCCCCGATAATCTCGACGAGGGATTTAAACGCCAAGGTCTGGATAGACAACATTGAATATGTGGTTATGGGCTTGGAGGAAGGAACGAGAGTAGTGAGAGATTTTCAACGCTATTCATTCTCAACAGAATGATTATCAGTGACGTCATTCCAGAAATAAATAGCTTTATAAGTCCCATGCTGTGATGAGGATCCTACTAGTTTCACTAAACAAGACCTCATCTAAGAGCTCTTAACCAAAAATCTGGATGACATAAAGAACCCACACAATTGTGTGCGTCATTCCACGCACCTCTTACGATAGCTCCTCAACTTGGATTTTCTACAACCTAATACATCGATCTATCTTCACATCCCATTATCGTTGGCTAACCAAGGACTTAGCTACTTTATGACAACTGGAAGGCGGCTCTAGAAGAGATCGTGGGCTTAAGTCATAACTTGTAAACCTTTCACAACGACGCGTGAGTGCAAACAGCTAAAAATTACAGTGCCTCCATCCAGGAAGATCTAATGACCTCCTGCAGAGCAACAGCATTTTTAGAACAATTGAGATAGGCAACTCCAACACGCGAATAGGCCTTCGTGAGTGACTTATATGATTGTACAGCTTGTTTCGAGCAAAAAGTCTAACTAGAACATAACAATTCGGTCAAAGTTCAGTGCCATTTAAATAGGCTTCGGATCTGTTACACTAATGCCCAAACTAGGTGTACAAATTAACTCTTCAAAGCCAGTAATAATTGCAGTCACAGAAACATGGCTGACACGGTCTATAGATAGTTTGGAACTTGATTTCGAGGGTTTTACGTTAGTGAGGGCCGACAGAATACAAAAGTGTAAAGGAGGGGGAGTAGTTCTATTCGTTAGGAATACTATCCCATTTGCCATTATTGTAGGGTGTATCCCATGAGAGTGGGACGTGTGAATTAGTTAGTTGCCACTTGAAATGCAAGGAACAAGGGCTGTTGACTGGTTTGGTCTATCGCAGTTTAAGATTTGAGGTAAATGAGGTCCTGCTATGCAATCTCAATAATAGGTCACAAAGTGGTCGATGTCTAATCCTAGGGGACTTTAATACACCTATGGTAGACTTGGAAAATTTGCGAACTGAATAGTCAGAAAATGTTTTCAGATTGTAAAAGTTCGGAGCAAAACGATCCCCAAGCCACTCTGGGTGGCAAGGGAAAGCTCTCCACAGACTTAAAAGTGTGCTGCACAAATGCTCGCAGCATACTAAATAAAATGGCGGAGCTGAAGTCAGTGGTGGATAAGGAAAAACCGGGCGTTATCGCTGTCTCGGAAACTTGGTTAACGTCAGAAGTATTAAATAGTGAAATCCAGTTGACTGGTTTCATAACCAGTAGGGCTGATAGATTAAACCGAAGGGGAGGCGGGGTTATTGTGTACACGAAAAGTACCTTAACCATAAGATTAGCTGAGACAGTAGCACATGTTTCAGGGACATGTGAACTAGTGATATGTAAGTTGAAATGCCGAAGGCAAGATATTGAAGTAGTTGTTGTTTATCGCAGTCCAGAAAGTGTAGCAGATGATTTTCTCCTAAGTAAACTTAAGTCCTGGTGTAACAACGGTAAAAGCCTCGTAGTAGGCGACTTTAATGCACCATATATAAACTGGGTAAACTTAGAAGTAGGGTCAGCCATATCGTCTTTCGACTACAAACTGTTAGAAACCTCGATTGGAACACATTAGAGATCCCACAAGATATGATTTAAGAAACTCGTCTTCTATTTTAGATTTAGTCTTCACGCACGGCGATGACGTTGGTCAAACGGCTTTTCTTCCACCACTTGGGAGAAGTGACCATGCAGTCATCTTATTCAAATTCATGGTTGAGATTGCTTGTCAAACAATTGCGCCGGCCCGTCCTAACATATGGAAGGCATATATGCAGGCAATTAACTCCAAAGCATCGGCTGAGAACTGGGAAATTGACTCAAAGGCATCAGTACAAGAGGCATGGACTCTATTCAGGCAGTTATACAATCGGGTAACTCAACCATACATACCCTGGACTGTCCCAAAGAAAAAGAAGCACGGACATCCCTGGATAGGGCGGGATATTCGACGCTTACTAAGACAAAAGAAGAAATGCTGGGATGCTTCCATCCGCCTTAGCACAGCAGGTACGATGGAACGTTACAGATCGATAAGAAACGAGTGTATAGCTAAAATTCGGGAAGCGAAAAGAAAATATGAAATGCAGCTGGCACAATCTGCACTCAAGCAGCCCAAGAGGATATTCTCGTACATAAACTACAGAACAAGGATTCATCATTGGATTCCCAACCTAATTAAAGTAGGAAGTGAATCTGAACTGATAGAGGAAGATCAGGAAAAAGCTGAGGTTATGGCTGACTATTTTGGGGCAGTTTTCACTCAGGAACCTCCTCTAGAGAAAGAACCAGACCCAATTACAGAGTCAACAAACCAGCTGCTCACCGTGGAATTCAACCAAAACGATGTGCTTAAGGCTCTTAGCACCCCAAATATGGAAAAGTCAACAGGACCAGATGAACTACACCCCAAAATCTTGAGATATATTACCCGAAATATCGCGGCCTCACTGACTGTGATATTCAAAATGTCACTTGACCAAGGTGTGTTACCTATGGACTGGAAGGACGCAATCGTCACTCCCATACATAAAACAGGTCCACGACAAGTTCCATCGAATTACTGACCCGTAAGCCTCACCAGTGTTGTAATTAAAATACTGGAAAGAATAATCAAACGGACCATAACGGCATTTATGGAAACAAATAACTTGCTGAACATGGCACAACATGGTTTTAGAAAGGGTCTATCCTGTGCAACGAACCTCCTTATAGCTAGGGAGCTCTGGATTAATGCACTAGACAACGGAAACTCAGTGGATGTTGTCTACATAGACTTCAGTAAGGCTTTTGACAAGGTGCCAACTAATAGACTGCTATTGAAGTTGGCAAACCTTGGTATTGCCGGACCTCTTTTAAAATAGATTAAGGATTTCCTAGTAGGTCGTAGGCAAAAAATAAGAATAAATTCCAAGTGCTCCATCTGGAGACCAGTACTTAGTGGGGTACCTCAAGGTTCAGTCCTAGGTCCTTTACTTTTTATAATGTACGTTAATGATCTTACAAGTATAGTACAGTCTCCAATGTTATTATACGCTGACGATGTAAAAATTTGGCGAGTAATAACTGGAGACAAAGACGCATTTACTCTTCAGGCGGACTTAAATAATATGATAAACTGGTCTAAAGAGTGGCTGATGCCTGTCAACTCGGAAAAGTGTGTCTACATTCACTTAAGGGATTCAAAGGTTAATACATACAACATAGGGGATGTGTCATTGCCCGTAGTCCGGTCTCATAAGGATCTAGGGGTGACAGTGAGCAATGATCTTAAGACGACGGCCCATTGCCGGGAGGTCGCGGTTAAGGGGTTTCGAACCCTCTGGGCTTCAAAAAGGACATTCACTAAGTTTGATACTACCATGTTCACCACATTATACACATCCTTAGTGAGAACTAAATTAGAGAACTGTGCTCAGACTGCAAGCCCCTGTTTAAAAGGTGACTCAGACATACTAGAAAAAGTGCATAGGGCAGCTACCCGTGCAATTCCGGAGCTAAGGGGTTTATCATATAAAGAGCGGCTTGAAAAACTGAACGTCTTTACTCTGTTCTATCGCAGACTAAGGGGAGATCTAATATTGATGTACAGAATACTGAGACATGATTTCGGACCTAACTTACTCTCTCTTTTTCTTCCCACTAGATCGGGACACCTCAGAGGACATAGAAGGCGAGTAGAAAAGCCAAGAACGAACAAAATATCCGTGGCATACAGGTTTTCACACCGAGTCATCAATACTTGGAACCTGCTGCCCGAAGCAGTGGTGTCCGCACCTTCAGTTGACTCTTTCAAGAGAAGACTGGACACTCACAGAAGCATACTAGAAAAGGAATAACATAGGCCGTAGGCCTTCTGTCCTTACTACACAAATCTGAATCTGAATCTGAAACTATGTCCGACGACGGAACCACTCTTGACTCTGGATGTATGTTAACAATAAAAGGTTACTATTCGCGACCGAAATGTTGATCGCAAGCATTCCTGTAGTACTTATAAAATTCCTCGTTAGTGCAAACATATTCTTTTAAATTGTCGAAAATGTCAAATAACATGACAAGCGGGCTTTTGACATCGTCCTTTGTCTGTTATTGTACATGTATGTTCCTTGTTCCTCCAGTTAATTGCTGCATTGTATTCTGGTAAATCAAAATAGCAGTTGTTTCTCAACGCTTCGGTATCATGGGTGGTGATTTATTTTACTACTTCTAGGTCTGTGAACTATTTTTCTCGTTTCAGATTGACATTTACAAGTTCGCTGATAGGGGTAGTTACTTAGTGTCACGCAACATGGAAGTGAATGAAAATAGAGTCAGATGTTTGCAACAGTGGGTAGAGCACATTATTCCGTCCAGCAGTGATAGAGATGTTCGGGAGTGGCGAACGCTTCTGCAGCTCATTGATCTATGGTAAGCAGTAAAGTAGTTTTCATGTTTATAGAAATCACTTGCAGTCATTAGTTACTTGTTCTGATCTGGGTCCTTTACGGTGAACAATTTCATGCTATTTTCCTAAAATGCATAGAAATATCTTAATATAGCCCGAGAGATTTGATTAAGTTCAGAATATCACGTTACAAACTGTTGAGTTTTCTTAGTCTAGTCAAAGAAACAAAGTTTATTAGGCCTTAACCTAGTCTTAATCACAACATAGGTCTGAAGCTGGAAACATGAGACTAAAATTATTTTGTATCTTTCTACGAACTAATTCTCTCTTCCTGTACCATATCCCTATATGCAATCTTTCCTTTTTATATTATCACCATTGAATTAACTGCTTCTATGAGTCGGGTGTTAATCGTGTTGTGCTAATGAGGTGTGGCAACTTAGACCGATGCACATATGTACCTGGTCCTACGTTATAGCTGATTGACTGACAGACGTCTGTCAGAGATGTATTGGGGTCCTTTTATTTGCACTTTCATAATGACTCCACTGCGGTGAGTATTCTCTTCCTGGCATGATAGAAATAAGTCGCTATTTCATATCTATGTAAGTTAGAGCTGTTATTCTGAGTTTCCCACGAAAATAATGGGTATTCACAACTGAGATGAGCTCCTGGGAATCTAGGAAGTTACTACAATTTCCTTGTCAAAACGTCTCGTAGACTCACATCATCAATCATGTTGCTTGAATTTCAGCGAAGCCTAAAGGTAGTTGTAAAAGTTGCTACGTTTACATGAAGTATTGAAGGGCGAATCCATTGCGAACTATTATATCACCGGTCTAAAGGTAGCTTTTGTGTTCAGTTTTGAGCAAGCTAGCGGTTTAAATTTCGATATCCTAATCAGTTTTTAACACTGAATTACTATTTATTTTTCTACTATGAATGAAGCAAGGATTCAAGTATGAGCACTGTTATAAACAATGAAGATATACCCAAAACAGTACACGATATTTTGTCAGGTATACAAATTCGTATTAGTAATGCTTTAGATTTCTTCTCTGTTGATCTTAACTCTATTTTCCCTACAAATGCGGATGATAGTCGCGGACATACTTACCGACATTATTGTGTAAGTTCATTCTATGTAAATAATTTTTTTAGTTTTTGTTGCTGGTTTTGACTATGGGTCTGCGCTTGAAGTCCACACTATTTATGAGTGCAGCATTCAAGCTTCCTAGCTCAATGCATTATCATATTGTTGAGATGACTCAACCTCTTATTGAAGATTGCCCAATCTCGATGACTTCTTTTGAAGCGTTAAGCTTAGATTTAGAAAATCACCCAGTGACACCCATTCACCAGAGCAAAAATATAAAGGGTAAGCTCCACTTATTTCTAAATCTTTTTAGCTCCTTTGACTTGTCCTATTAATTCAAAAGTACCCATATTATCGTTTGGACACAATGAATTAAGTGTAACTGATCCTGAACTTACTTTTGGTGATACATATTCCGGAAATGAACTTTCTTACAGATTTACTGGTCACTCCTTCTATCCACCTCCACAAACCTTTTTTGAATCTCCTCATGTCCGCAAAGGAAAAAGCTGTGTCACAAAATCTGGGTTTGGAAATGATTTCGAGTCGGAAATCGACTCTCCTCTTTACTCATTGAAATCGATTCTAGAGTCACCACAAGTTGTTCCTAAGGTTAGTAAATGATGATCAATAAATTTGTTTCGAATCAAAGTTTTTCTGGGGATTTTTATGATTATTTCAAGTTGTTTATTCTCAGGAATTATTTCAAAGTTGAGGTTCTGTGTGACTAAAATCTTGATGGTTTACATAAGTACCATATTGGGAGTTTTTAAAGACTTTCGTCCTTTGATTTGCTACCACATAGAAAAATCTAAAATACATATCAATTTTACTTTGTTTAATTAGTAGACATTAAGTTTGGAGATGTGTCTATTTCATGTGATTTTAAAACCAGTAAGAGTGCCTTATACAAGGTAAAAACGTAGGCTTCTGGAGCTCTGATACATAGTCTTGATGATGTTCTTACTAAATTGGATTAGTTAGCGAGAACGCTATTATCGTTTTTGGTGACATTAGGGATGGAGATTAAAAAGTAAACAAAGTCTAAAAACCATACCATTTTGAATGCGCCTTAATGATCTATTGGGTCAGCTTGTCACATTTTAAGATAGAACCCTAGTTGTAACAACAACATTTGAAACTGCGAAGAGATACAGAAAAGAAGGTTGTAGTGACGGATGAAATTATCAGTTAATGATATGTTCATGATTGTTATTATACAGAGAAAATCTTGATTCAATAAAGCCTCAAAGGGATACGAAAAAAAAAACACTGGCACTCTGGTGAAAAATTGGAAGTATGAGAATAATCCAGTTAATAAATGATCCTAAAATACGAGGTCTGTAATAATATCATAACAAATAATTGACTCATTCACTAGATACTTGGATTTGAGACACGCTAAGTGCTAATGATAATACCCGACTGTCCGAATCGAAGTGAATGCAATGGGTTTTAGACATTGGTCTTGGTGAATGAAAGCTGAACACCTTGGCCATGCCAAGGTTACGCAATTTGAGTATAAATGCAACCAAAGTAAATTTAAATTAATAATATACTGGAACTTACGGAGAATGGAATAGAAAGCTTCGGCTTCTATTCTGAAACAATTATAGTACATAATCAACTCAGTAAGTTGAAGGATCTTAAGCATTGTATTCAGGGAGTTGTGATAAACTCACGATATCTAATGCCACACGACTACTCTATATACCATACCTTCATGTCGAAAATTGATTACTGCTTTCTCTCCGTAGTTTCAACGTCTAGAAATTATGCGCGATATGAAAGTGGTTGGCGCAATTGTTTATAAAGTGACTAAGCCACCGGAGCCTATTTCTAAATGGTAACGTTGAGATATCATCACTATGCTTAAACACAACACTGGACTTTCTCAATACCTACACAGCATCGCAATCAGTTGTTAAACTTCTCTTGGAGAGAACTGTATTCGAACATAAATTTTTCGAGAATCCTCAGTTCAGTTGGACCAGGTATTATTACCGTAATGCAAAAATACCTTCCCCAATATCTTACAACCAGGACTGCAGGTCGCCTAAGTATTTCTAATCCAATAGAATATTAACTCTACTTAAAGTCATTTAGATGGTTTCGGCTTTCTCAAAATTGATCATTCATTGTTCCTAGCGATCCACGTCCTAACAAACTATTTAGAATAATTCACGCTCTTTTGTAGTACACCAAGTTGATTAACTTCTCGCTGTACATTTATATTATCAAGGGCCAACTTTTATCCAAATTGGATGAAATTCGATCCTTGTCTTCTAAGTTATCTGAGGTCCAGCATTTATATGAAGAAAACATGTGTGAACTTAGTCGCCTGAGTTCTGAGTTGCAAGCTTCAGAAATAAGGAGAAAAGAAACAGAGATCCGCTTGAAGCGACGTGAATCAGAGTTAAACGAAATGCGTGATGAATTGGCTTATGAAATAGAAATGCGTTCATTTCACGAACAACGATCTAATCTTGTTGATCAGTAAGTTATAACTTGACGTAGCATTTAAATTAGCATAGTCTCAGGGGTTAAGTCATCTAGCTTCGGGAAGTAGTGTGACAAAGAATTGATAAGAAATAAATACAAAAGGATCTCAGTAACAGCTTCTGTAAGATGATGGCATTCAGTCGTATCACAGTACAATATGGGCATAGTTATCAATTACTTGCTGAAGTATTTACAATTAACATCTTACTTTGATATGATTATTTACTGTACATAGCATAAAAAATATCTAGTCGAGACTGGTGTGTAGATGTTCTATTGTAGTGAACGCTACTCACAAGATTGTAAGTAGTGTTGTAGCGAATCGTGGCATCAAAGTTGCAACAGTTGTCAGACGGAGTGAAGAGTTTCAGTGCATCGAAAGCACGGCGTTGTCAGAACACTATGAGACCAGATGAGAAGACAGTTCAGATGGCAGAATACACCGAAAGATCCAAATGGACGGTTGAAGACTATGTATATGTATCATGCAAATACTTTGCATTTTCTAGCGATAAATTTACATTCATCCTGCCAATTATTGTGTTTTACGTCATAATCAGACATAGTTTTACACTGTTTTGTCATGGTAAATACGTTCTATTGTTTCACTGTCTGAAGCAGCTAGTTGTGGGTAACTAACTTCAGTTATGATTATAGATGATAACGAATTACAGATATGAAGCAATTAGATCTGCAAAATATTGATTCATTTTAAACACGATGGGAAAACAAACATATATATATATATATATATATATATATATATATATATATATATATATATATATATAAACGCTACACATATTTTTGGTTTATTACACTGAAGTAGATAAAGTTAGCTAAAACCCACGACACTGCTTAAAAAATACTGTCTAGAATTAAGCTACATTTCTTCAAAAAGTTGAAGAAAGATGTGAACTGCGTAGTGTACTCCGGGTTGTTTGATTTTCTGTAATTGTTTTTCTTCTATGCTAGGATTACCGGTTAACGCTTAGGTTCTTAGCTTTCTAGTCAGTAAAGTAAATTTATGGATATGTACAGTTCTCATAAATTTAATGTGTAGTGTTTCGTTCAGTAAAAATGGGCTTTTGATTTATTTTGTACTGCAGTCTACAGGAAAGTCTGAATGATGCTTTGGAAAAATTAAAGGTAGTTAATCAATTGGACAAGGAGAATCAGGAGCTTCTCAAAGAAAACCGCAAATTGAAAACTAAGGTATGTCATTCATAAAGTTTTGGTGGTACTAAAGATAAGAAAGATTGGTTCAGCGAAAAGTTCTCTTTTTAGCGAATTCATTTTCAAAGTTGTACGATCGCAAATATATACACTTCTGGATGATAATAATTACAATAATTGCAATAATAGTGATAATAAGATTGTGTTAAACATGGTGACAGTGAGATAGAATAAACATAGGTTTCAAAACGTTACTTTTTTATCAGGGAAGCTAATAATATTATTATCAGAACGAGGGTTTGTAGAAATTGTAGTAATTTAATAGTTGAATTCATGAGTCGATTCATCATGAAGGTAGATGAAGAAAATATTGGAAAAGGATGGCTCAGCATGATATAATCAAATATTGAAATTGCGATGAAATGTAATCAGGAGGATCACAGAAACAAATAAACCAGTTGGGGATAGGTCTATTGAGAAAATAGAGGGAGAAGCAGATGGTTGCGAAGGAAGAGAAGTATAAAGTAAAAGAAATTATGAGATATTAAGACGATAGTAGGAAATGAGGTTGTACCGGTTTCTTTTGACACACAGAAATTCTCTTTAGGGCGTCTGTAACTCCACCCTTAGAATCGATGTTCATGTGAAGTGTTTTCTTTTCAGCCGAGGTTATTTGTGCTTCAGGCGGTTTGAGTTTTATATTCTTGTCAATATCACTCATAATTATCACGTAAATGGATAAACCTGTTACTCTGAAATTAACGCAACTAAAAATACCTTGTTGTTTCCGAAAACATAAATTCAAGTGACATTCAGTAGTAGTTTCGCGCAACGTTACCTAACCGACTTCTTAAACTACAGACTCATTTTGCGATATGAGCTGCATTTAATTCTTCACGCTGATGTTTGTATACCGTGTTTTAGTTTGATTTCTATAAACTTTTCTATCCATCTAGGAGTACATGTCTGTAAAGTAGGTATCTCTTTGGCATTCAAAGGCTGTAGTGTAATCAGTCCAGTCTTTGGAGGGTAGCTACGTTGAATTAATGTTGGTTCATGATGGTAGGATGTGAAGGTTTATCATTTTAATAACTTTAATTTCTGTCAAGGAGAACGATACTACGATAATATTAGAGTTCAGTTTTACTGTTAACTGCTCTAAGATATGGTAGGATATGGCGTAAATAGTCAAGCTGTTGAAATTTAGCAAATGTTTGAATAGGAACATGCCTAAAAAGATCTCAGCGTGTAGAAATATTTTAGGCAAATAGTAATTGCTGTCATAATTTAATAAAATATAGTACCATATTTATTCTGAATTGGGCTGTTTGTTTATAATCATTTGTAGAAATCATCTCTTTATGATCACCTGTAACACTTTACTGATAAATGTTCTATAAAGTCATTCCCAGTAGTAACTGGCAACTGAAATGTAGTTAAGTCTTTAAACATTACAGGATATTGAAGACCGATTTCAAGTTCTCACAAGGTACAGCCATAACGATGTCTGAATATATGCTGAATTTAATCATACTAGAAAAACTGGGCCGAATTGTATTGTGTAATCTTGAAAATCAGAAACATTAGATATGCAGACTAAATTCCATGGCCATAGAACAAGACTTCATTATCCAGAAAAACTTGAAGGCGAATCTTACAGGAAATGGTGGGGGCCCATGATAATTTTTCTCGCTTTGTGCGGTGCATGTGTAAAGTCATACTTCAAATTACATTTCCAATAAGTTACTGTTCTTATTAGTTTTCGAGTTGAGTACTATGCGAATGGTATGTCTGCTAGTGAAAACATAGACATAGATGTTCGTTTCTGTTAGTTTTTGTGAAATCTTATATGACAAAGCGTATCTAACGTTTCTTGCTTCATGTATCCCTTTAAAAGAAACTTGGCTCTTTCCAGTTTACAGATTTTAAAATTTCTAACTATCCGTATAAGTGTGTATATAACAGTTTTTTTGTGGGTAAAAAATTGTTCGGTATCCTACACAGTAAGAAGTATTTCTTTTATAATTATAACTATAATTTGTGAGACCTGTGTTCAGTTCCTATTTTTATAGGAAAAAGAATTGGAAAGTATTCGTTCGCATTTGTTATCTCAACAAAAACTTGAACACCAACTTAATCAAATGAAAGTCGTTGCCCAGCTTGCAGATAGTGAGGTATAGTTTTGTACATTTTGTGAAGAGTAACCCTTTCCCAATTTGTTTGTTTGTTTGTTTGCGTCTTATCTTAATTATGTTCTTTAGAGTTATGGTATTCATAAGAATTGGGAATCCAAGTGTCTAATAATCCTGAGATTATCACTGACTTCATTAACGTTGGTTGGTTGTCATTAAAAATTATTGAGACCAATTACTACTAGTATTTACTTCAAACTCTGGCATTTTACGCAGGCTCATGTACAAGTAGGTTTTAAAAAGACTGGTGGAAGTTAATCCAATATGTGATATCAGTACATTGTGCCATTGGTTGTTTAATCAAACCAATCTAAGAGGTGCAAACCTTCCCATTGTGATCTTATGAAAAGGCTGTAGGTAGTGTGGTTCAAAATTGGTCAAATTCATCCAGGTACATTCATTCTTCTCCCTCAAAATCTTGAGCTCAGTGGTATCCCATATCTTTCGTTCCTCTTCGTCTTTTTACCAGTTCATCGTAAATTGGGGCAGGTTATACGGATACTCTCACCCAGATTTTTTCTTTTCATTTTCGACATGGTGTTACTGTCTTGCCTATAATATTCTAAACTGCTAGCTGAGGTAACACTAAAAGTGAGGCCATGAAATCTCAAATATGTCGAGACAATATTCATTTATCACTATTGGAAACTATGTGTTACAAAATAGCTATCAAAAATTATCTTAGGACACTTGGTCTGCTGTGCCCTCGTTGTTTCTTCAGGTGTTGCACAAAGAAACATTTAGGTTCTGAGTGATTAATGGATCTGAATCCAATCGTAAACTAACAAAGTGATATAGTTCCGTTTATCCTAAAGTAGTTGAGCGTGTCAACCGCTTCACTTATCTTGGAAGTCTCATCGGCCCTTGTGATCTGGTGTGTGACAAAATCTCAGCACTGATACAGAAGGATCGACTAGCTCTTGCCAACTTGCGTCATTTATGGCGTTGGCAAGATATCCGTCTACCAACCAAAGGACGGGTTTACTGCGCAACAAGTCGTTCCGTTCTGCTCTATGGCAGTGAGACATGGACGGTAAGAGTAGAGGATATTCGTAGGTTGCTAGTATTCGATCATAGATGTCTTCGAAGCATTACTCGTATATCCTGAGACCAACAAGTAAGTACTGCAGTTGTTAGGAAATGGGTACTAGGCAAAGATGGCAAATCGATTTGTGAAGTAGTAAAACTTCATCAGTTGTGTTCAGTATGCCCGACCACCGACTGCCCCGATGAGCGATGTTTTGTGGTGCAGACTACCTGGTTGCGATCCGCGAGACGATAGCAACCAATAGTTAGAAACGTTGAATGACATGGCTCAAAATCGTTTGCAATGGTGCAGGTGCATCCACCCTTTATGTTCTCCCAAATTCTAATCTTCTGAATTCGTCATGTCCCCTTTATTCTCGTTCCAAATTTATTTCATTAGATTATACTCCTTTAGTAACATCTTCAAACCCTAATCTTTCCGATTACTGATTATACTTTACTACCTCTACCACGGTGGGGTTCGAATTGACAATTGTATCTGTGCTAATGTTGTATGGCAACTCGAACTGATGTACGTACGTACAAAGTTCTACGTTGTTGCTCACGGACTGGAGTGCTATCGTATTCCCCCTTAACAAATACGTATTTTTGAAAACGTTTTCGTTTGTTAGTAAAGTAATCATTGAAATATTCTGTAATCTAGTGGTACACAGCCAACATAATCTCACAAAACAAAGATGGTGAAAAGTGATGGTTGTTCTGAGCTCTATGATGTTTCGCAACTTCCACGTGGTAAACATATGATTGGTCATAATGGTTCAAATCGATTTTCCTCAAGGTTAATCCATTAAGTTATGTTAGATAGGTATTATTCATTCAATTAACATGATTTAGCACAAATAATCTTCCGTATTATACTCTCCTTTGAGTCTTACATATATAAATTCTACAGTAGTGCTTTTAAATTTCTTTTATGTTTTATACAATAATCCATCGAAATTATTTTTAGATACATGAATTATTGTGCCATCGCGAACGACTTCTAGCTAGATCCGAAGCGGAATACGTAGCACAGGCGAATTCTTTAATTCGTAACCAGGGTTCTACTTCGGAAACAATAACTTCTCTGTGTAACAAGTGTTATTCATGTGAGAACTGTCCTGAATCTGCACATACATTTCATCCAAGCTTTGGTAAAGAATTGCAACTTTCTAATGCAGGTGAATTATCTCATGATTGTTACATTTTAAAGTACTTCTAAAGCTGATGTCCATTTGGTCTAGAAAAGTGAATTGGTCGGTTTTTAAACTGTTTGTTGTGTTTCAATACACTGCAATATAACGATGGATCTAATACCTTGTAGTATAGACAGATATTACAAGATAGTTATAGATAGGGTTCCAGGACTAGTAAATTTTTTATTGTTAACTACTTCAAATTTGTACACTGCCATTTCGAGAGATAAATCATTTTCGATAACTAACATATAGGGATATATATATATATCGGTGAAATGGTAATATAAATTTGTATTCATCAGGCTGACATCTCTATAGAAACGAAAGTAAATTTAGAAACGTTAATCCATTTATACCGTTTATGTACAAAGTTAATTCGCATTAGTCTGTTCAAGTTGGTATTTGTGTATTGGCTAAATTTCGTTTCCGATTTCGATGCCTGGATTCCCTCTATCCTTCTGTTTGTTTCTTAGGCACTATGCTAAGTAGTTTACTTTGATTCCCTTTTTAGATGTTTCAAACGCAGGTCCTGCTGAAAGTTTAGCTTCTGTGGTGATGATAAATAATCAGCTTCAGGATCTTGAGTCAGCTGTTGTTAAGGCACAAACAGACTACCAAATTATGAGAAAGAAGTATATTGTAGAACGATTTAACTCATTGTTCGGAAAAGTCCTTGCAAAACACCGTGGCAGTATAATTAACAGCTTTCAATATTCATGTGGGGTAAATTTAACTTATGGTTTAATCAATTTCTTTTCTAATTTACTGTTACGATTTCTGATATCTTATTTGTTCTGGGCCACCTAAGCCAAAACACAGTTGATTTGGGAAGTTACAATACCTAGTAAAGTAAAATTTCTTATTGTATCTAATCTAAATATCATCTGAGTCATAATATGTAAGTTCTAGATTCTATTTTAAACAGTCCCCTTGTGTAACACTGTTGACTTAAATATTAAAAGGGAAATTATATTTGTAAATATCTTAGCGGTTGAAATTGCAATAATATTTCACTCCGCAATCTGATCCGATCCTCAAGGGGAAACAATCAAGTATCAAAATTATAAGATATAAACATTATAGTCCAAAAATTAACAATATACTAGACAAATTGTACGCTGCAAATTTGTAAACCATATATTTATCTTTGACAATTTTCATGAAGAAGCTCGAATTAGACTGTTAAATAAAATGTTCAGTTATTCTAATTTCAATCACTGGGATGTTTACAAATATTATCCCCTTTTTAATAATGTTTTCTATTAATCTATCACCCAACTATTATAAAACTATTTGTTAAATTTAAAAAACTATTAGGTTAAGTCATAAGCGTAGGATTATCTCATTTCCTTGTTTTCTTGTTCACTCAATATATGAAGACTACTTCTTGTAAAAATACCCTAGAATGTTTATGAATTGTTTGAACCTCAAAAAGTTTATTCTTTTTGCTTTACATTTTAATGAATAATAATTTCAGTTGTTCTTGATGACTTCAAGTCGTAACTCACTTTGTAATTGGTAAATATATTCAACAACGTTTAAATGTTTTTCGAATATACATAGGTTTTGACAAGAGAACTTAATAATCTCAAATCAATGATGGATACTAGATTCGAAAAACTCTGTGAAAAAGTAAGATTTTATTATCATGTAGATCATTGAATTTCCTAATGTATGTTTTGTCTGATAAATTAATTCATTAGTCACGGAATTTCCAAGGCTTTTTATGATCAGTGAATCATGTATCACGTCTAAACATCAAGATGACCGCATAACTTTTCCATTTGTGTTTTTCAACATTCAATGTCATGCAATAAAGAAATGTTACAATAAACGAGTGACATTTGTTTCAAAATTTACAACTTAAGTTGTTTTCCTTGCTTCTTTTGGGATTTTTACTTATACACTACTCCTAAACAGATTGAATTGTTTCCCAACAACATCGTTAGTTATAGCATTGATATAATTACAAACAACATATTGTTGTGATATGACACTAAACTTCCATTGGTTTATCAATTGACAGTAAGTGGTGTTCAGTGAGATCTAGACATGTAACTAAACAGGCAATTTCCGATTGATAGGATATTAAAGCAGATTTGTTGAACAACTTATCGAACTATTACTAATCAGATGGAATCCTTTTGGTGGAGTTTCGTTCTCTGAGCTCGATAACTTGGTTTTGGAGCTCACATTCTTTTTCTGTACATTACCAACACAAACTTTAAATATAAATGAAGTATCCACGACCAAACCATCCAGTCCAAAGAACAAGACTCCAAAATCATCCACCTGAGCTACAAATCGTCACATATTAAGCGGGATCTATTTATGTGTTACAAATGTAATTAAGACATCGTTAATATATCATATTATCAATGGATATTAAACTTAGAATTTTAATCTTCATGTCACTACATTTGGTGCCACAAATCAGTTTCCAAGTGTTGTGTTCCGAAAATGTTACTACTAAAAATGACTAATCATAGTGAAGTCACATATAATTAAAGTTAACAGATTTCTGAGAGGTAAATAGCATTTCTTGTTAAAATAAGTTAGATTTCAATCTAGCTGTTTGAATCTTATTCAAGATATTTTACTGATGTCCATTTGTTATCACCAAATCAATTGACTATTATTGAAGTATCTTAGTCATTGGGGCTGTTCCACATCTAAATAAAGCTTCCCCACTCGTCTCTAAAATGTTGGATTATACAAGACTGTCAGATCTGTTGCATGGCTGTTTAAGAAATTAGTACTTTCACTATTGAATAAGTTTATCCATCGAAGAGTTTATTTATTTAGGGTATTCTTAAATATTTACAATCTCATTATTAATTATGAATGAGGTTTTATTTTAGTTTTTGTCTGTTTGACTTTTGATCGAATGTTTAGTCACAATTCAATATAATTCCTTAGTTTTTCTTCATAAGTTAGAAAAATATCGGTCTTATAAACTGCAAATAAAACACTTATTGTTGTTTGTTACTATTGGTATAACAGTTGACATTGTCATATATGCTAAGAATCTGCTGCTTAATTATGATGCATAAAGTCTGTCTCCTTACTTTTCTTAATTTTTATTTCACAATATTTTATTTACAGATTCTGAGTTCAGAAGCAAGGTTGACTCAAGCCAATAAAAAAGTTACAGAGATAAAAGCTAAGCAGATAGAAATGATCAATAAATTATATGCTCAGAGAAAACAGCTTTATATTGAAATGGACAAAATACGATTAGAATCCGAGATTGGCGTTCATGATTGGGAAAATAAAGTGAAGTTACTTCAGACTGAAAATTGTGAATTGAATGCCAAGGTTAGTGTAAAATTTAAATACGTTGTAGCAATAAAGCTAACTGTAGATTATTTTTATTCATATAGTAAGTCGTTTTACTAGTCAATAAAAATTGGTTCTATCCTAACTCCTAGTAGCCTCATTTAAGTTTTCAAATCGGATCACTCTAACTTCTGTGGTACTACTCGACTCCACGAAATATTTTATTCAAAACCAAGTGCATAGACCTATATTTGGTTACTAACGTCACCTGTGGCGAAGGCGAGATATCCGTCTATCAATAAAAGGACGAGTATACTGCGCGGCAGTCCGTTCTGTTTTAATTTACGGCAGCGAGACATGGCCATTAAGAGTAGAAGACACTCGTAAGCTATTAGTATTTGACCACAGATGCCTTAGAAATATTGCTGGCGTCTGCTGGGATATGAGTTTTTAAATATGAGTTTGGGGATCTATCGTCCCCAACACTCCTCCCCTTTTTAATAGCGGGCTTTCCTAGCATCAACCTGCATCTTGACTGTAGCTCGCCGTTCTCGGATAGGCCACCGTTTGGGACGTGTTTCAGCTTGTTGTTGAGGTTTTTCTTGTGGTGGGGTTGCCGGTAAGTTGAATGTGTCTAGCAGGATGTCAAGAGGAATATTTGCTTCGGTTGATGGGCGGCCTGGGGCTAACCGTTTGCGTAACTGATTCCGATGGCGTTGCCACCTGTCACTGCCTACCTCAACTTCGTACATGACTCGGCCAACTCTCCTGACCACTCGCGCTTCTGTCCATGGACTATGGGTCGGTCTGTAATCACGGGCAAACACAGTGATCTGTGAGAAGTGTGAATCTCCGACCGTACAGGAACTTGTGGAAACGGCGCACAGCAAACACAAGCGCGAGCGCTTCTTTTTCTATCTGGCTGTATTTTTTTTCTGCTGGGGTTAGTTTGCGGGCTGCATGCATAACGGCTTTTTCCGACGCATCCGGAAACTGATGGGAGATAACAGCGCCTAAACGTTCTCGAGTCACTGTCCGGTTGAAAATTGTATGTTACCACCGATTACGAGAACTGAAGCAGTTTTTTTTGAAACCACGTGCACCATTCAAACTGGCTGCCTTCAACGTTCGCACACTAGTGCAGGTCGGACAACAGATAGGGCTGGCTATGTCTTTGGAAAGTCTTAATATTGATGTTTGTTGTCTATCCGAGACCCGTATTCAAGACTCTGGCGAAGTACTACAAATTCGATCTCCATCTGTCGCTTCGAAAAGCTTGTTTTACGTGCGCTTATCCGGGGACCCTGTGGCATCTTCGTCTGGTCTTGCTGGCGTTGGTGTCGCACTAAACGCTAGAGCTGAGGCAGCACTAATCGATTGGATCCCCATTAACAGTCGGTTATGTGCTGTTAGATTAGAAAGTTCCATCAAAGTGAGAAGAAATCGGCGTTAGAAACGATGTCTTTTCGTCATCTCCGCCTATGCCCCGACAGATTGCAGCCCGGATGCAATCAAGGATGAGTTTTACCTCCAGTTATCTGTTCTTCTCCAGAAAGTGCGTTCGACAGATATTGTAGTACCAGCCGGATAATTGAATGCTCAGGTCGGGCGTCTAGGCACAGAAGAGAGTCGTTTAGGTGGCCGATGGGGACTCGTTGGTCGCAGGTCAGATAACGGGGACCGTCTACTGCAACTTTGCACAGACCACAACCTGTTTCTGGCTAGCACTAACTTTCGGCACAGTCATTGCCGATGTGCCACCTGGCGTCCTCCCTCTGCATCCCAAGCCTGGACTCAGATTGATCACATCGCGATCAGCTTCCGCTGGCGTGGTTGTGTAAAAGACTGCCGCTCCTTTTGGAGTACCTATCTGGACTCTGACCATGCCTTGGTCTGCGCCAATCTTCCAGCTCATCCGAGCCACTGGCAGCAAGAAGTCTGGTGTGAGTGAAACAATCTGCGAGGATGATGGGATGCCAATCACTAACATCCATCGACGTCTTGGACGATGCGTAGAATTTTTCGAAAGGCCGTTCAACTGGCCTGCTGCTCCGGCAACATCGGTCGGACTGTCCTGCCCTCCATGGCCGGTGACGACTGATCCACCAAACGAGGAGGAAGTCCGCAAGGAACTCCAACTCTTGAAGCGTTACAAATCACCTGGCCCAGATGACTTACCTCCGGCTCTTTTTAAAGATGGTGGTGACTTGTTGACTAAGGAATTGACGACGTTGTTTACAAAGGTTTGGGAACTAGAGAGTGTACCAACGTCATGGAATGAGTCGATAGTTGTCCCTATCTTTAAAAGGGTTCACGTCGTTCCTGCAACAACTATCGGGAGATAAGTCTACTTCCGATTGCGTCCAAGCTATTGGCTTCCGTCATACTTCGTAGGTTGTTCAAAACCCGAGAAAGATTGACTCGCGAGGAGCAGGCTGGGTTTCGTTCTGGTCGAGGTTGTATTGATCATATCTTCACCCTCCGCCAAATGTTAGTACATCGCCATACTTATCAAAGGCCAACAATCGTAGTGTTTCTTGACATCAGGGCTGCCTTCGATTCGTTGGACAGGACTGTTCTCTGGGATTGTCTATTGAAGAAGGGTGTGCCTGAGAAGTTTATTAACATCCTAAAAGCCCTATATAAAAACGCCTCAGGCAGAGTGAGGGCATACAACCACCTCTCTCCATTGTTCCATTCGAGTAGTGGGGTTAGGCAGGGTTGCCCAATCTCACCATTCCTCTTCAACTTTGCCATCGATGACATTCTGGAAACAGCTCTGATGAATGTAAGTAATGGTGGTGTGGATCTGTTGCCTGGAGAAAGACTTCTCGACCTTCAGTATGCGGACGATATTGTCTTACTGTGCGATAATGCCCAAGGCATGCAATCCGCACTTAATCAGTTGGCAATCAGTGTCCGTAGGTATGGTATGTGCTTTGCACCTTCGAAGTGCAAAGTACTTCTACAAGACTGGCAGGATTCCAATCCTGTACTCACCCTGGATGGTGAGCAGATAGACGTAGTCGAGAAGTTCGTGTGTCTGGGTAGCTGCATAAGTGCTGGTGGGGGTGTGAGTGATGAGATCAATGCACGTATAGTGAAAGCCAGAGCTGCTTATGCCAATCTGGGCCACCTTTGGCGTCTTCGTGATGTTAGTCTGGCTGTAAAAGGTCGGATCTACAACGCGTCGGTGAGAGCAGTTTTGCTCTATGCTTGTGAAACCTGGCCTCTCCGAGTTGAGGACTTTAGACGACTCTCTGTGTTTGATCATCGCTGTCTCCGATGGATTGCTGACATTCAGTGGCAACACCATGTCAGTAATGCAGAGGTTCGGTATCGTGTGTCCGGGCACAGAGATGATAATTCATTTGGTGTCACCATCTTGAAACACCGACTTCGGTGGCTTGGACATGTTCTGCGAATGTCGTCCCAGAGAATTCCACGTCGTGCATTATTTGCCGACGCTGGGACTGGTTGGAAAAAGCGGAGAGGTGGTCAGTGCATGACATGGTGTCGTGGTATGAAAGAAAGCTGCAGAGGACTGGCTTCTGTCGGTCCTTCACGACTCCCTGGTTGGGGTCCGAGAGATGGTGCTACACAGTGGCTAGAGACGTTATCAGATATGGCTCAGAATAGAAGCCAGTGGCGATCCTGCTGTAACCTTCTTTAACTTTCTTCATAAAAAGTGGTTGTGTCTCCCTTACTTGAAAGATTTCTTCTGATTGTACCTTTCCGTTCCATCGTTACGACCACACTACCTTACACCAATCTCTTCGTTATCGTTCTCTTTTTCTTTTGCGCTCCTTAGTTTTTTTTTCTATCTCCGAATTTTCATTGTTTTGTGTGCCGCATATATATTGGCGCTCTCTTGTACCAATATTTATGTGTTCAAATAAAATAAAATAAAAATAATATAACAGCGCCTAGGCCATTCGTTGAAGCGTCTGCAGCTACGATGATCGGCATGGCTGAATCTTAGCGTGTCAGCAGCAATTCTGAACTAATAATGGACTTCAGTTTACAAAAGGCAGCGTCACACTGTTTAGTCCAGTTCCGAGAGCTTTTCTTATGCAGTAAGTTATTCAGTGGACCGCGAATATCATGCATCGATGGAACGAATGCTGAGTAATAGCTGACAAGTCCCAGGAAGGAACGTAGTGATGAGACATTAGTGGGAGTTGGCATCAGTTTTATAGCTCGGATATTCTCAGGATCCGGCCTGCGGCCGTCGGCGTCGAAAATGAACCCCAAGCACTTTACCGACTGCAAATAAAACTGGCATTTCTCTGGGCGTAACCGGAAACCGTTGTCACTGATGCGTTGCAGTATCAATGTCGTGCGTTCTCGTAGCTGTTCTAATGTCGTCGCTACAATTAAAATGTCATCCAAATAAGCCGCGATTCCCGAGATACCTGATAGGATAGTATCCATTAGTTGCTGGAAAATAGATGGTGCAGTTTTGACCCCGAAATGTGGACGGTTATACTGGAACAACCCACGATGGGTATTGATAGTTAACAACTCTCTTGATGCTTCATCTACTTCCACTTGCAAATAAGCATCAGCTAGATCCAGCTTAGCGAAAAATCTTCCCCCATTCAGCATGGTAAATAGGTCTGCGGGAACAGGCAGGGGATAATGATGTTGTTCCAGAGCTGCATTGAGACCTGTTGAAAAATCAGCACAAATACGTGTCGTACCGTTGGCTTTCTTGATAACCACAATAGGTGCTGCCCATGCAGAGTAGGAAACGGGAGTAATAACTCCTTGTTGTTGAAGGCGGTTCAATTCTTCATCTACTGTTTGTAATGTTGCATAAGGGACAGGTCTCTTTGGGCGAAAAACAGGTTTAGCCCTAGTTTTTAATCGAAGTGTTGCTTTCATGGCAGCGCAGCGACCCAATCCAGGTTGGAATATAGTTGAAAACTGCGTCATTAGGTTCCTCGTATATGCTTCCAAGTCATGTGGTTGTTGTCGTAGTTGGGGTTGTGATACCAGGTTGCATATGGTATTCAACGGGACATCAGCTAAATTTAAGTGATCGAACCAATCTAACCCAAGCAAATTTAGATCAGCTGGTGTTATGTAGCATACCCCAACAAATGCCAAATCACGGAAAGTAACTGTACATTCCATTTGTCCTAGCAGGTGAAGGTAATTACCACACGCAGTACGAGGCTTTTGCGTTGTACGCTGCAAGTTTGGGCTGCCCATTTTGGTCCAAGTCTTATGAGAGAGGATAGTGACATCTGATGCTGTATCTATTTGCAATCTAGATGAATGCCCATTAATGTTAACAGTAATAAACTTTCTCTGACCTGGTGATGAGCTTTGACACGAAGATACTAAGCTCAATGAATTGGTGCGGGATCTAGGAAGGGTCTTTTTGGTATTTCTGGATTGACTTGGAGTCTTCTTCCTCAGACAAACCCATCCTTATGACCAATAACCTTACACTTCTTGCATTGATGTTGCTTAAATGGGCAGTTTCGAACGTAGTGCCATGCACCACATTGCCAGCAAGGAGCACGAGGAGTTACTTTGGTCTGTTGTCTCGGGCTGGAGTGAGATGGACTGGATAAAGCGGGGACGTATTTGTTTTTGTAAGGTGTCTGTTGCACCGCTCGTACTTCAGATCGGTTAGACCCGCCACTCTGGACCATAGAAGTGGCTCGCTGCAAATTAATGAGACGCTGATATTCATTAGCTATATCACTCAGGATGAGTTTCGGCTCTTGATCCAAACAACTCAGTAGTCTTGTTCGTAAGTCACTAAACTTTTGGTGCTGCAGGCTGCAAATAAGTATCAGGGCTTTAAACTGATCTTCAGTCAAGGACTTTAACCGGAAGCGTTCGCATTCACGGTTGACGACGCCTACATGCGTAAGAAAATCATCATCTTCGTTCATAGTAAGCTTCAAGCAACGATAACGAGTATTAAACAGTGACGAATTATCGCCAAAATGTTGGCTTAATGTTTGAACTGTGTCTTCAAATGATCGATCACGTGTGTTCAACGGCAGGATCAGATTACAATACTTGTCCAGCTCATTTGCACCCAGTTTACGAAGTAGCAGCCGCACTTTCCAAGCATCATCTTGATTGGCGAAATCAAATTTAAATAGATCTTTATAACACCTGAACCACATCTCGAAAGTAACATTAGCATCAGGATCGTAATGAAATTCAGCTATGCTATTTGCGATGCCATCAACCGATGGTGCTGTGGTCGAACTAGACGTGCTGGGTTGTAAAAGAGGCGTAACCTTGGTCTCCATCAATATTTGCATCAATTTCAGCTGCTGCTCAAGTAACAGTTCAAATTTTGCAGGGTCCATAATTCAAAAACCACCGTCGCCAATTTGTTATGATTTGTTAGTCGCTTGAATGCTATTACTGATGCGTTTTACTCAATGAACGAAGGATCGAAGGATTGATCATGCTTACAAACCAAAATTGTGATAGAATTTTTTTTACATGGAAATAGTGTGAAACAATTGACATAAATGAGTGTAAATAACTTGATTGCAATGATAACTATATATATATATATATATATATATATATATATATATATATATATATATATGCTAGAAACAGGTCAGAGGTCAAAAGAGGGGGGTTAATCCAGGGTGGGTGGTGTAATAATTTAGTGAAGTTCATAAATTGTGTGATAATTGTAGAGATTAATTGAATTAAATAATGATAAAGTAGATTACGTAATAATAATTAAATAGAATTTGGAAAGTTAAGATAATTTAAGAGGATCAGGTGGTGGAAATGTGTGAATAAAATAACCAAAACAAACGGAAACAAAAGAGATTACCAGGGTAGTGATAAGTTTATTAAAGTCTCTTTTTGAATGCATAAGTCCGGTTTCAGTTTCTTAATTGCAACGGCTTCAGCAAAGCGGAGAGTGGTAGTAGTTCTTTGTCTATTGATGATTTTAAACGCGTGCAGAATATCGACGGTATGCCCGGTGTCAAGTAGATGCCGAGCTATTGCACTGTTAAAAGCTTTAGTCCCTCGCAGCGTCAAGTTCTTCGGAATATGCTCAGAAATGCGAACCTGTACTCTTCTCTCAGTTCTTCCAATGTATGTGCTACGGCACGTACATGTGAATTGGTAAATGCAGTTGGAGCAACTGAGGGGAGAGGACTTGTCGATCTTCGTTTGTTTCAGTGAGCAGTATGTTTTCCATAACGTAGTCAGTTTGGCTGTCGGGTAGGCCACTTTTAAAGCGGAATTAATTCTGTGATTGATAATTCCGGGGACTTCATCTCCTTTGAAGCTCAAGGATAGGAAGCAGGTTTTCTTTTCAACTGTATCATGCTTAATCGGAGGGTTTGTATTAGCAAATTTGTGGATGAATTTCTCCGGATATGCATTTTCACGTAGGCATTTGTTGATTGTAGCAATTTCTTCTTCTAGGCATTCTTTTGAGCAGATTTTGCGTGCGCGGTCAAAAACTTCACTAAATAATTATATATATATATATATATAGTTATCATTGTAATCAAGTTATTTACACTCATTTATGTCAATTGTTTCACACTATCTCCATGTAAAAAAAATTCTATCACGATTTTGGTTTGTAAGCAGCTGACGTGAAACCTCAAAATAATATGAATTCATACTATTCTGCATCAATGTTTGTTCTTGCTCTATTTAAATATATAGAATATTTGGACCGTTTAGCCGCGATTTCTAGAAGCAAAAACAAGGATTTATGAGAAGCAGCAAAGTCTATAACTTAGCATTTAGTCATTATGTGAAGCAAATAAAGCATATCTAAGCACAATTAACAGGGTTTTACTTATCTATAATTTCAGTAGTATGAGTGCTTATTGTGATAGACTTTCGTTGAAATCATTTTTACTCAGAACACAACTTGCAGGTGTCTGTATTTAACAAATATCTACTTAATTTGAATAATGTATCATAATCATATTTCTGATGGAACTTTAGGTGGTAAAGCAAATAAATGTATTGTCTCGTTTACACCTTATTCCTTGATACCTAGATGACTTTTTGTTGAGTTGTGTAACGTTCGACCACTAATTTTCTGTATATAGGTCAATAAATTTACATCTATCCAAAGCTAAATATAATAAGTAACGTTTATCACATATTACATTTTTGTGAGGAAACCTATAGCAACATCATTAAGAGTGGTTTTCACTCTTAGAGAGATTGTATAACATATTCTCTCAAATATAGAATAGCAGTTACACTACCAATGACAAAAGATCGTTTCTAGCCACAAGACAGTAATCAATAATCAAATCTTTGTATGTGCATATTGTATTGTATTTCAGGTAAACCGCCTGAAAGACAGTCTGGCAATTTGTGTTTCCAATTATAAATCAATTATCAACACTATGTCGGAAGAGCATCGTCGTGAAAAAGACCAAATTATATCAAACCTGAAATATGCTCAAGAGACTAAGGATATTTCTTTACAAGAAACTGCCAATTTAAAACTTTTACTAAATAATCTCAAAACTGAGCTAATCGACGAAAAAGAAAAGGCTTCTCAGCTTTCAACCCTATATGATAGATTTAAAAGTGAAGTAGACGACCTACGTTGCAATCTCTCTAAAACAAGGGAAGACTTATTAGAAGTTGAAGAAAGCTTAGAAGTAAAAAATGACGTAGTTCTATCTCTGCAATCAACAAACAAACAGTTAGAGGACAAACTTTTACTGACTGAAACTTCTTATAAGCTGAAGGAAAATGAGGTTTGCAGGTTGGTATCTCAAATTATAGAATTAGAATCTAAAAATAAACGAAGTTCTGAGAAAATTACTGAGCTCGAAAATTCAGCTAAGTCATCCAGTCATATCCAATCGGATCTGGAGCATCATTTAGAAACCATGAGAATTCAACTTAAGGAAATGGAAAGTGGATGGTTGTCTACACGTGCACAGCTGGCTGAAACAAGGCAACAATTAATTAAGACAGAAGAGCTACTTCATGATACGAGGTTGAGTCTTTTACGAGCAAACTATAAAAAAGCTGAAGTTTTAGAGCGCTTAACACTAACCGAACCAAAGAATAGAAGAAGTAAACAATTTATTTTTTAAAGATTTCATTTAATATGTTCTACATTTTCTATAAACACACTAACTTCGTCTTCCGAGTATAATTTTTTAAGAATATGGATAAAGTAATTCAGTTTACCGGTAAATTAAATCATGAAAAATAATCGCATAAGTTCAAGGTCCTGGAATATCTATCCAGCAGTACAAGTATCTCATTTGTGAGACTTTTAGTAGGTCTAATAACAGAATGTATAATAGTAGTCTGTTAGCGCTCTAACCACAACTTACTTAAGATTTGTTTTAGCTAACTGTTTGCAATCACAATAAAGGCTCAAATGGATATTTAGGATTAAACTTAACCAGCATATAAACATCGAATTATCACGAAAACTGTCCAAGTATCATATTCATTTTGTTCTGCACTGTAAAAACTAATAACATATTTGTGCTTTAGAGCTTGGGGAAATTCAATACCATCTGTGATTGCTCACGTTGTCAATAACATAAGACTAATACGAGCGAATGTAAACTAGATGATCAAACAATATTAGTTTTTAGGGAATATCAAAATATAAGTGCATTTTCACTGTTATGATTGACCTCAGAAGATTTAGGAACCTTTAAATGCTTATACACCCAGTCCTAGAAGAATTCAAACTCCGTAAAGGACTGGAGTATTAGTATTTAAATATATAAGTGTGTTTATTTTTTAAAATAGACTTCTGTTTCCCTAGAGATATACGTCAGTCATATTCCAATTCACTCAACCTATCAGTATGTATATCCTCATACATCAGTTATCGAAAATGACTGACTTACGCCTGTTACCACTCATGGATAAGCATAGGCCGCCCACCGGGATTCTCCGTCAGACTCTGTTCTGGGCAAATCTCAGTTGGTATTTATTCTCTTGATGTCTGATTCCTGTTCCTAGCACAAAGTGTTGCTTAGTCTTCCTCTTTCCCTTTTCCCTTCAGCATTCCAAGTTAACGTTCTTCTCGTGATGCAGCTTGATATTTTCCTCAATGTATGTCTTATCCACTTCCAGCGTCTTTTCCTAATTTTCTCTTCAGCTGGAAGCTGATTTGTTCTTCCTCACAGTAGGTTGTTTCTGATAGTATCCGGCCAACGGATATTGAGTGTCTTCCATGGAAAACTGTTTATAAATTTTTATACCTTTTTGATGATGGCTGTGGTAGTTCTCCAATTTTCAGCTCCGTACAATAGAACTGTTTTGGCGTTCGTATTGAAGATTCTTACTTTGATATTAGTTGACAGTTGTTTTGAGTCCCATATTTTCTTCAACTGTAGGAATTCTGCCCTTGCTTTACCAAACCCTTCATTTACGCTGGTATCAGATCCTCCTTGTTTATTGATGATGCTCCCTAGATATGTGATAGTCCCCACCTCTTCCAGGGCTTCCCCATCAAATGTGATTAAGTACATTTTTCCTGTGTTGTATTTCAGGATCTTGGTTTTTCCCTTGTGTATGTTGAGACCTACTGCCTCAGAGGCTTTTGCCACACTGGTTGTCTTGACCTGCATTTGTTGATGTGTATGAAACATTAGGGCCAGGTCATCTGCGAAGCCCAAATCGTCTAGTTACATCCAACCTATCCATTTTATTCTGTGCTTTCCCTCAGATGTCGAGGTCTTTATAATCCAGTCAACTACCAGAAGAAAAAGAAAGTGAGAGAGTAAGCAGCTTTGTCTTGCACCAATCTTTGCTCAAAATGAATTTGTAAGTTGTCCTTCACACACGACTTTGCAGTTCAGTCTATCGTATTAATTCCTTATGATATTGACGTCCTCAAGTACACCACCTTGTCGAAGGTGTCATAAGGTTATCCTATCCACACTCTGAAATACCTTCTCCTAATCAAGGAAATTGATGTATAATGACGAGTTCCATTCAATTAATTGTTCAACGATGATCAGTAGTGTCGCGATTTCGTCTGTACACGACCGATCTTTACGGAATCCAATCTGTTGATCTTGTAGTTTGGCGTCCACTGAATCTTTCATTCGGTTCTGTAACACACTGTTGATAACCTTTCCTAGTACTGATAATAGTGTGATTGAATGGTAGTTCTTACATGTTCTGAGATCTTTATTTAGTACCTTGATGAGGTATCCATATTTTCAGTCTTTCGGTCGCACTTTTTCTCCCAAATCTTCCTTAATAGAACGTAGAGTATATCTGCCGTTGTTTTTATGTCTTACTTCAGTGCTTCAGGTGGTATGTTGTCCGGTTCTTCTGCTTTCTCACTCTTGATTTGTCCAATGACCATCCTGGTTTCTTCGATCGTTGATGGAGTGACAGCTATGAGGTCTGTGTATACCTGTTCGATGTCCGATGGATTCAATGGACCTGGTCTATTTAGGAGTTCCTCAAAGTGTTCTTCCCATCTGTTCCTCTGTTCTTGAATCTCACTGACTGACTTGCCTTCTTTGTCCTTGACCGATCTCTCTGAAAATAGTTCCCTGATAGTTTCATCATTGTATCATCTGGTTGTCTGATATTTCCTTTTCTTACAGCTTTTTCAACTGTCATTGCTAAGACTTCGACGTATTTCTGCTTGTTGGCTCTAATGTCCGCTTCACTTGCTTGTCTGCTCCCATGTATCAGGCCTATGCCTTGGCTTTCTCTGCTGTTGTTCGACTATTTTCAATAGCTGTCTTATTCTCTTGAATCCTGTCCAAGGTTTCGATAGAGCCCCATTCCTTGTGATGATGCTTCATTCTGTCAGCACCTCTTGGCATGTTGAGTTTGTCAGTATTTCGAACCTTTGTAATGTTTCTCCAGTTTCCCAGTGTTCCTTTAGTTTCGTTTTCATCTTAGCAACTACCAGGTGGTGATCTGGAGCTATGTCAGCTACCCTCTCGTCTTCTATGAATCTCTCGAATATTTTATTGTTGTAAGTATGGTTGATATGGTTCTCTGTAGTGTGATCCGGTGAGATTCATATAGATGCATACACTTCTGGGGCAATATGGTGCCACCTATAACCATTTTGTTGAATGCACCTAAGTTTGTGAATTTGTCACCATTCTTGCTTCTTTTCTCCCAGTCAGTGATTATTGTTCCACAATATATTCATACCTGGTGTTGTGCGTTCTGACTTTGGCTTTTAAATCTCCCATCAAAATTATCAGGTTCTTTCCTGTGCACCTCGCTATGATCGATTTTAGCCTCTCATAAAACTGGTCTTTACCGTCTTCATTGCTATCATTGATGGGTGCATAACACTATATAACATTCATTGTGATTCTTTTATTCTTTTTTTTAAGGATGCTTCAATAATACTGGGTCCATGAGATTTCTATTCTATAAGTGTTATACGTGCTTCTTTGGACTGCATCAGTGCAAATTTTGTGTGTGCCAAACATTTTCTTCTTCATGAACTGAGTACAGCAGCATATCCTCCGAATCTAATATTTTCTCTCCAACTTGAGTCTAATGGGTTTCACTAATTCTGAGCACCACTATGTAGTGTCTTCTTACTTCCGCAGATATTTGATTGGTCTTCCCGGTCTCCCACGTTGTCTGGACATCCCTTGTACTTTTGTGAATTGTTGCTGTGGTTGTTTGAAGGGGTATCGACCTCGTGACTATCGAAGAATCGCGGCTTTCAACATGAGGTGTCATAATTCTTCCTTCATCTTGGAGAACGGCGTTTAAAAGTTTTAAATGGTTTATTCTGGTTAGCGAGTTTTTAGCAAGGTTGTAATCTACGGGATAAGGTTGTTGACTACGTACCCAACCCTCCAGTTTTGGGATCGGTAGTAACCCTAAAATAGCTACAGGCGGAGTTATCAGAAATGACACTAACAGTCTAGTGGATACGGTGAGATAAAGATTATTGTAGTGTTGTGTGGAAATTTTTTGTAAGATGGTGATTTTCAGTGGTCTTTTACGTTCATAGATCTCATCAGTGACCTATCTCCCGAAGTTGATATTGTATGCAGAAATTAGCTTTTAGAGGTTATGCAGAAATATTTAAGTGTCATAGTTGTTTGACACTTCCCTGAAAGTCAATGACTCGATTCCCCCAAATATAAGTGTCCTGTATATTCAAGTGATTTGTTTTCTTTTAAACGCTTTTCATTTTCAACTTGGTCGAGTTTATTTTCATTTAAAGTCACTGAGTTACTTAGGTTTAAGTAGTATCTTTTAAATTTCACTGTCTTTAAATAGTCTAAAAATCCTTATAGAATATTCAATCAACAAAGAATATTTGACTGAGCAATTGTTTTTAATAAATTCATCTTCAAACTCTACAGTTATAAGTCCATAATTATATTGATATTTTACAGAGGTGAAAACATGACACATTAATGAATTTGGCGATGTTGTATGTTAAAAATGGTGAACGTTTGCATCTGATGCGACATAAGTACTTCAATATAGTTTTATCTGTAAATTAGAAAGGTCAGAATGATTTTAAGTTAAGTGTCAAGTTGTAATCAGTAAAATAGTAATACAATAAATCGTGTGTATACAATGCATTACCACAAGAGCAGTTGCATTGGTATGCACACATGGAGGAGCCCGTAATCGATAGCCTACCCTTAATTTGTGTGAGTGCTGATTTGGTTGAGATTACACATAATCTGGCGGCGTGAAATATCCCTCAGCAGATCTTTTGAGTCGACATATTAAAAATTCACCTACAATATCCGCTTTGGAATCGATTTTTAAATAGAAAGTTCTCTTGGTGACCGTGTCAGAATTTATCCTATTTTTCCATCGTGTTAAAAATTATCTGGATAGCTATTATTTCGTAATGTGTTCTTTAGTTTATCTATTTCGTTGTCTACATTATCCTCAGAACATAATTGTTTGAATTTGTGGCTAAGACATTTAACCAAATTTATTTCGTATTGAATAACTGTAAAGCTGTAAAAATAGGTATACTGACTCACTCAAGTATTCTTTGTAAATACATTTCTTTTTTCCTTCTGGAAATCAGGAAATTAAGGAAAGCCATATTATTGCCTTTCTCCTCTTCGCTGGTGAATGTAATAGTTGGGTAAACGTTATCAAAACTGTTCAGCAGCTCGATGTTTTTGTCGCACATGATTAATGTGTCATCTATGTTTCGACAGTAATGATCTAGCTTATTGAGGGTGTCTTTCGATAATCCACTTTCCAGTTTAGCTAGAGATATTAGTGAGGATTAGACCTTAGGGGCGATCCCACTAGCTGACCCATTTATTTGTCCATAAAATTCGTTGTTAAACGTACGGTAGATTAAGTGACTTTTCGAATTTACAAATAACACTATATTGAAGTATTTATGTCGCATCAGATGCAAACGTTCACCATTTTAACATGCAACATTTCCAAATTCATTATTGCTTGTAGTTAGATATTAACACCATTGGATGCCGGCTCAATGGTCTAGTAGTTAGGCGTTCGCGCGCGAGACCGAAGGTCCCGGGTCCTATTCTTGCATGCGGGATCGTGGATGCCCATTGCTGAGGAGTCCCATACTAGGATGAAACGACCTTCCGGTGCTCCCAACTTTTCAATGGTGGTCTAACATTCATCATATTAATTTAAACTCATCAATCTCCACAATCCTATGCTGATAAATTCATTAATACATCTTGTTTTCACCTTTGTAAAATATCACAACAATTATGGACTTACAACTGTAGAACCTGATAATGAGTTTATTAAAAATGATTGTTCACTCAACTATTCTTAGTCTTTAAAATTATTTAGATATGAATTTCATGAATGTTGGTGTTTGTGACACATGTTTTAACACTTTGAACTTTCACTTTACTAACACTTCAACGAAAAGTATATTGATTGTCTATCTACCTTAAATATGTAAGGAAGATTGTACAGCTAGGATATTTGATTCTAAACGTTTCCAATAGTGAATTTACTACATTCCAATCGAAAAAAACTTTCTACAACTTTTAACCTTACTTTACATATACTATTCATCATAGTGTTATAACTAATTATGTTTCAAATAAATTTTCATAATGTATATTAATTTATTGTTAAAATTAGGCTCGTACATATCAATTTGTTATTTATGTTGACTATTCATACAGCCCAATCGACATTAGATCTCACTTCTGATATATCATCTACAACATATAATAATGTAAGTACTGGAATCAAGCTAGTTCATTCGGAATCAACATCAGATTTTTCTTGTAAAAATAAACTTCTCAATGTAGAAATTCAAAATAATCTCAGTAAAATTGATCATATCGACACAGCAAGTAAGCCAGCTGGAAAATCTTTTTCAGACATTGCTTTTCAAAAGTATGATACACGTTCACAAATATCTTTAAATAATTTATCTGGTAATATGAAAGGTTAGTCAGGTCGTATTTTATTTTCTACAATAATATGTATTATTTCTGTTTAAACAGTTTTATGTGCTTCGTCATGACGTTAAGTCGTATAAATTTATAGATAAGTTATCATTTTATCCAGATTTTACTCAAGACACTTCCTTTCTCGACATCATGTGTGTTTGTAGTATTTTTCTACTTATTATCACGTAATTGAAATTGTAGACGTGAAATAATCTTTTAATTAAAGTCGGTTAATGGTTATCATTGGACTTTTCCGCTGGATATCCATGAATCCCAGTGATGTTCACACCGTTATTCAAGTGCTGGTACCTTTCTCTTCGAATGTCAACGCTTTATCCATTGAACTTCTGAGTTCAGAGGGTCACTAGCTTGTGCAACGGGTATGAGTAATACATGTAAGGGGCTGTAATGGAGACTGCAGTTGATCAGTCTATGTTGGCATATGGGCATCCTGAGAGAGTTGCCTGGATATTGTTATTTAGTCACAAATATTTAGTAAAGTTGGGTAGTAACTGGTATTCAAGTATGATCAATTGCAGTCTTTGACACCAAACAGAGAAAACGCAAACCCTTAGAAGCTGAAATAATTTGTTCAGCTTTTTGACTCAAATGATCATGATAAGGGAGATTGAAAATTCGTTAATTAACATCAATTCTTAATTGACCAATCTTTTGTTGCATGAAATGAATCACACAGAGAAAACACTCAAATGCGTGTACAAACGAAATTGTTTAAAGCAGATCAATCTTTGACGTACAGTTTTCTTCTTAGATTAGTAAATTACAAGTTTCAATGCAAGATATGTGCACTCGAGCACCTTTATTGGTTTAACACTGATCTTTTTTGAATTCATGTTTTTGAACTATAAGTAATTCTTTGTTATTAATTGAAGAATGGCCTCCTTATTCATCCATTACTGCTCCAGTTAGTCCTGGTGGATTACAAAAAGAAAATCACAAAACATTGTCTGGTACGTCTATACCATTTCATAGTTGTCGCATTGGTCGTCTGATTATTTCACCTGATGGAGATGAAGCAAACGAACTAAAGCCATTCACTTATCAAATGTCACACAAACTTTACTCTGGTCCATCGAAGACAGAAAACGAGAATCAGATAAGTATGTTTCTAAACTACATGTATACTCCAACCGTTTACTTTGTGATGAAACAACAAATAAGAACGTAGTTTGTGGACAATCGTGTTGAAAATCTAGGACTCTTTATTTTATGAGATATATTTGATACTTAAAATCGACCCATTAGTGTTTTCTGAAACGTTTTTCTCAACCACAGCTTTGTAAGTATTTTTACAACAATGTTCAATTTCACATCAGAATATGTTCTCGTATCTTTTAAAACTATACGAAAAGAATATGAACAAAACTGGATGACACACAACAAGCGGGACACTTTCTGAATATCTCCAAGGTTTTCATCAGCTACTGATTCGACAAGGCTCTCTAAAGACTAGGTTGGCTTCACTTCCTATTGTTCGTTTATTAATCAGTCTGTACCAATCCAAGGAAAGATTTCGAATTTTTTGAGTCAAAAACATCCTTGTTTGAATTCCAGGTTGTAAGCCCCCAGAGAGATACTTACAGTAAAAGTAAATGAAAGCAAAATAGTGGTTGACTTTAACGAACTTAGAATGATCACATAAACTGTGAGTTTCAAGTAAATATAATATAAGCTATTTCTTTCCACATAAAGTATCGTTGATTTTGATTATCTGTTAAGAATACTTACCTAAATTTAGCAACCCTATTTCACCAAAGTTTTATGATATACAGTGTATTATTTTAGCGACGTAACTTAATCCCTCCTATTGTTTCAACTAAGCTTATTCTTATCGTGAATACAGTATATTTTTAATATCCTAATATACCATAGAAAGGTTTGGTATTGCTGTCAAAAACAAGTGACAAGATATGAGTACGATGGTCAAACTAAACAGGAGACGTTTCTCGATAATTGAAGCTGTGACGTTTGAATATTATCGGAAAATGTCTCGTAAATTTTGCTTTTATCAAGAAACGTATATCTGTTATTGGTAGTGGTAATATTTTTACCCAGCTACTATCTGGGAACAAACGAAGATCACAAATTTGCTAATACAAACCCTCCGATTAAGCATGATACAGTTGAAAAGAAAACCTGCTTCCTATCCTTGAGCTTCAAAGGAGATGAAGTCCCCGGAATTATCAATCACAGAATTAATTCCGCTTTAAAAGTGGCCTACCCGACAGCCAAACTGACTACGTTATGGAAAACATACTGCTCACTGAAACAAACGAAGATCGACAAGTCCTCTCCCCTCAGTTGCTCCAACTGCATTTACCAATTCACATGTACGTGCCGTAGCACATACATTGGAAGAACTGAGAGAAGAGTACAGGTTCGCATTTCTGAGCATATTCCGAAGAACTTGACGCTGCGAGGGACTAAAGCTTTTAACAGTGCAATAGCTCGGCATCTACTTGACACCGGGCATACCGTCGATATTCTGCACGCGTTTAAAATCATCAATAGACAAAGAACTACTACCACTCTCCGCTTTGCTGAAGCCGTTGCAATTAAGAAACTGAAACCGGACTTATGCATTCAAAAAGAGACTTTAATAAACTTATCACTACCCTGGTAATCTCTTTTGTTTCCGTTTGTTTTGGTTATTTTATTCACACATTTCCACCACCTGATCCTCTTAAATTATCTTAACTTTCCAAATTCTATTTAATTATTATTACGTAATCTACTTTATCATTATTTAATTCAATTAATCTCTACAATTATCACACAATTTATGAACTTCACTAAATTATTACACCACCCACCCTGGATTAACCCCCCTCTTTTGACCTCTGACCTGTTTCTAGCATATATATATATATATATATATATATATATATATATATATATATATATATATATATATATATATATATAGTTATCATTGCAATCAAGTTATTTACACTCATTTATGTCAATTGTTTCACATTATTTCCATGTAAAAAAAATTCTATCGCAATTTTGGTTTGTAAGCAGCTGACGAGAAACCTCGAAATAATATGAATTCATACTATTCTGCATCAATGTTTGTTCTTGATCTGTTTAAATAAAGATTTGCTTGAACCTACAAAACAAGGCGAATAATGTATTTGGTAATCTTATAGGAATATCTTAGTGTTTGAAGTTATTTCTTATGATCATGACAATTAACTCAAAATGACTACTTTTATTTCAGTTGAAATGGAGCTGAATACGCCTGCTACAAGCATATCAACTGAACATGAAAAGCAACCTAATTCAGAAGTATGTGTGGCCTACTTATTGTCAGTTTTAAGCATGTCTATTAGATAAGATCATCAAACCCGTTTGTTCATATATTGTATTCCCATTTTATGTTGATCAGTGTAACGTAGAAAATGCCTTGAAGCTTATGCCTTAGTACTTTAAATTTAATTTATTCAAGTTTATCGTTGTGTAACATGTTGGAAACCTATAAACTGCAACCATACTACGTGACGGTTAAACGTTGGTATTTTATGGTCATTAGTAGTACATTTAAGTAGTTATATAATCTATTTGGAGAATCAAACTAGATTTTCAGGTAAACTTGGGTGTACACTAGATGAACTAACAGTTGTAACCAATGAGTGATGTGTACAAGTATTCAACAGTTGTACAACAAAAAGAAAGTTATGGTGATCCAGCCGTTGGAAGTAAAATGTTTTCTGGGAACTGGTGGTGAGAACCTTTTACGCCTAGTTTTAACGCTGCCGTAACACCAATATCTTTTAGCGATCAACTTTTTGACATTTTTGTCTTTGATGGATATTTACGTCGTACATGTTTACTTTGTTAGTCTGATTTATATTTGACATGTAACTTTAAAATACGTTTAACTTTTTATGAAAAACGTCATGAAGCTTGATCACTATATTATAAAAACTATGGTGTAATTGGAAAGTTGGATATATTTGAGTTTCTATCGCTTATCAGTTAATATGATCATAATATCCTACCAAAATTTGTTAAGTATCAGGTGCGTTGTTATTAGTTTTGTCTAACGCGTCTTGACTTCTAAATGATGTTCTTACATTCCATATAATTTATTTCTAGTCCGTCTCACTAACTTTACCATATATACCTGAAACTCCTGCGTATATGTTGAACAATCTTTCTCGAAGTCGCAGTGCTTATGAGATTGCTACAGTACCACTTTCGTGCAATAGTGATCTCTCTACCAAAAACACATTGTCGTCCACATCAAATTGTTCAATTCCTACGAATAATGACAGACCGAAGTTTAAGTATGGTAGGTGGGTTTCCAAAAGACTTCACAAACGTTCGAAGCATGGAGTTTCGCAAGATCTAAAGATTGAAGGTGGTCGATTCTTGGGGCCTTATCCGCCAAGTACTAACGACGTTCAGAGAAGTAAGGAATTAAAAGAAGATAATTCTGCTAACAAGTCGACGTGGCATAAAGTATGGTCAAAATACAAGTAATGGATTATCAAACAAGTTTTTATTGTACATATTTCTTTAGTTTAAAATTATATTACAGTTTTTAACATTAAATTAATTGTTTTGTATGCGCTAACCAAGTTAAATGAGTTTGTTTCCATTTATATTGCTCTCATTCTGTCGGTGATCCCAAGAAGGGAGAGATGATGCATCAAATACTGCAGGGTTACTGAATGCAGACCTGGCTTGTTCTAGAGTAGCTACGCATGATCTATCTTTATAAACATCAATCAATTCATATGTTCCATTTCTCTGACTCTAAAAATTTTTAAAGTAAAAATTAATATCAGATGAGTTTTATGGATATTATAGTAATTTCAATGGTTAAGACCATGAGTCAGTTGAAGCTAGACCACTATGGAAAACCTGGAAGCAATGGACGGCCGTTCCGTTCTATTGCGGAACTCCTCAACAGTGCGCACCCACGACCTCGCCCCCTGCGAGATTCGAACCCAAGATCTACTGGTCTCGCGCGCGAGCACTTAACCATTAGACCACTGGACCGGCATCCAACGGTGTTAGTGTCTAACTCCAACTAATCCACGAAATTGAGCGACACATCCACCGTTGTCTTCAGTGAGTTACTATCTCACAACAGACGTGGTTGAACTCTACTGGTCACTACTTCGCACTAGAACTCCAGAATATACCTCTTGAAACCAGTCACTAGTGAGCATATTTTGAGTAATAGGACGAAACGGCCATCCAGGTTTTCCATGGTCGTCTAGCTTCAACTAACTCATGATCTTAACCATTAGAAACTAATAATTTATAATTGACTCCAGTATGTATGCAGCTTTGCTTAAAAGCAGATTTATTAATACGATTGATCGGATACTACTGTACGTCATGATAGCCCTAGTAATCGAGATATCTAGAGTTCCTTTTGTAGTATACGTGTTTCATGCTTTACCGAAAAATGCACTTGGAAAATAGATTAACAATATTCAGTGGTATTGTGGTGTATGCGATTTATGTCCACAGACATAATTAGTATGTAACACCAATTGGAAGGGGGAAAACCTAGCAGAAGGCTAGGCCCTGGTATGGCCGAATGTCCGGCGCCTTAACCGGATACGAAAGCAATAGTGCATATGGGCTCCAGTATCCTGCGGGAACAAATGGCGTACGAACCAATCGTCGGTCACCGAATACCATGGGACTTCATTTTCTCGCGATGCTCTAGTGCTTTGTGGGTTAGATCTTTAGGTCAAAGACTCGGGGTTTGGCCCCCTAAGAAAACCACCTGCTCCTGTCTGGCCACCCGGGTAGTATCACAGCCCACACACAAACAGAATGAGATGAAGATACTTACGGAGAATACTATACTTGCTTCGATTAAAAATCAAACGATTCACGTTATTATTATTTACTACATCATTTATTCCACTCTGTGTATCCTTATTTTCCGACTTGTATGCATTAATCGATTGGATCCCCATTAACAGTTAGATTAGAAAGTTCCATCTAAGTGAGGAGAAACGATGAGTTTTCGTCATCTTCGCCTATGCCAATTAACTGTTCTTCTCCAGAAAGTGCGTTCGACAGATATTGTAGTACTAGCCGGAGACTTGAATGCTCAGGCACAGAAGAGAGTCGTTTAGGTGACTGATGGGGATTTGTTGGTCGCAGGACAGATAACTGCAACTGCACAGACCACAACCTGTTTCTGACTAGCATTAACTTTCGGCACAGTTATCGGTTATACCTTTTCGTTTACCCTACTATTATCATTATTATTACTATTACATTACATTAATCTGTTCGTTATTGTTCTTGTTTTTTAACGCTCCTTACCTTCTTTTTTTCTCTTCGAATTTCTATTATTTTGTATGGTGCCCTCTTGTACCAATGTTTATGTGTTCAAATAAATAATAGAATGTAAACAGAAGGAGATTGTGATTTGGATAAGTCATACAGAGTGTGGAATAAAGCATTCGATGGTTCTTATATTTCATCAAGGTATTCCGTAATTTTATACTGAAATATATTCGGTTGTCCCCCCCGCGCCTGTGTTCTCACTTATTACAGTACAAGCAAGGTCATATCTAATTGACTTTAAAGGAGCTGGAGAGCTGCAGATATATCTGGTTTAAAGCAAGTTGAATCCCTCAAATGTGGCATGCACAAGTTATGTAGAACATAGTTGTCGTCCGGTTCCTTTTGTGCCATGTGCATCGAATAAAGTGTATATGGGTTAACCACAACCTGAAGGCTACCCACAAATAATTAAAAATTATGATTAAAGACAGCCAGAAGTAAGATGGTTTGAGGTCATTTTAAAGAATTATGGTTTTTTCATTCGAAGTTTTGAAAAATTAGCGTTCGAAATTAAACTCATTCTGTTGTCTAAATGACTTGAAGAACGCTCTTTCTCTGACGATAAGCACATAAATGGTCTCATAGGAAAATAACCGCTAGACTTTAAGGCTTAGGAAATAATTTAGTAGCAGTAGTTTTGCGATTTACAGTTATATTTTATATCAGTCTTACTAATTCACACATAGAAAATAAGTTACAGGATAGTTCTGTAATTCCAAAGCAGAACATAGGATTTTCACTTGAACTTCTCTAAAATGAGATTCTTACCACTCAATGAATTTGTTACCTTCTTTGCATGATCTAAAACTAGTTTCATCTTCGTTGATGGTACTTTTGATTTTGCAGTGGTAGTGGGTTACATTAATGCCAGTTTATTAACTGCATGTTCACGATTCATCCAGGTTTAAAGTATTTTAGTTTTTTGTGTGAATTTTAATATTAACCTGGTTCAATTCGGTAGTTTATTAATCTTGGAGAAGACCTGTAGCCCAAATGAAGTTTTGTTCTCTAATTTGAGTGATATAATCGAGCTTTTATTGTCCTTCTGGGCGTGATAGGTGTCAGTGGAAAGATTCGGATACCTTACTCTAATCTAAAGTACATAGGGACAGTGGAATATTCTTGACAAAACCAGCCAGGTTAGATAATGAACCTCATTCCGTATAGTTATCACACATACCCTCTACTTCTTTTTGTGTACACTGTTAGTGATATGGTAGGTGTTTAAATCAAATTTACGAGTTTATAAGTACCTTTACAATAAGTATCCAGGGTATTCCCAAGCGGCTTTGGTCCAGAATTTTTCTACCCAAGCTTAATTCTTTGCGATCATCCACCAAAATGTCACCCAGTAACTTGAAGTTGATTGAATCACTTTGAATGGTATCGAGGATATATTTCAGCTCATCTGAATTCACACTATCCTTGGCCGTTTCCTTCAGATAAATAGACAAACGTAATAATTGTATCTGAAAGTTAGTTTGTTGGTATTTCATAAACAGGACATTCTTACAGCCACTTGTGGATAAAGCTTAGTGAAGTACTTATTTATAACGATCTAACCCTTGTGATGGTTCGGGAAAAAAAAGCTAGCATTCATACCGTGACCTCTGTCATATGTACTTACTTACTGCGTAATCAAGTGTTGACATCACTTTAATAGGTGTGTACAGAAGACATACTTGCTTTGTGACCAGCTTATTACAAAAACATGTAGTAGCAGTAGTAATACAACAACATTATGATAACTGAACTTTTTAGTCGTTAGAATCCATATTTAAAAGTTCCCATATTACTCAAAGTATAAACCAACTACCTTCTGTAGAACTATTGATCCGCTGTATGGTGCGATTCGGACAGGCCATCGAAGCTGTGAAATCTGATCTTTAGATTTGTCAGGAAATGCAACTCTTGTCAAGTGTTCGATGCAGACGGCAAGTAAACGTGATATTCCAAGACCATAGCACCCCATGAACATAAGTCTAGGATATAAAATATATGGAGTGATGTGTGTCATTTTATGAGATAAACATCATACGTAAAATTTCCAAACACTAAGAAAATGATGAAGACAATGTAGTTGTTTACAGATAATTTCACAGTAACTTACTTTGAGCCTGAAGGGGATTGATAAGTGGCATCAAAGCACTTTGAATATCGTTCACCCAATAGGAAACAGTGGGCAACCTTGAAAAATAAATATGAAACTGTCCAATCAGTGACATTCAAAACTAAGTACATCGTGATGTCAAACGAGACCTGTAAAGTTACCTCGGAAGAAATGATTTAGGGTTATTTCCAACCATATTACTAAGTACCTTTCATGAGTTCGATAGAAGTATGCTCTTAAAGCAGTATTAAATGACGCGTACTAGATAATGATAAATATAATCTATCATGTCACATAATAAGCTACGAAAGTCACATATCCCTTTTACTTAAAGCACTACAGGTATCCAACTGGTTAGGGATGCTTAAATAGAAGAGAAAAACAGTAAATCATTTAGGATTGATTGTGTTTTGAATTTTAAAAAATACACTTTGTTGGCGGATTTCGCTCTCTGGTATCCATTCGCTAAATGCGTCCATCGTTAATTCGATTACAGAATAATCGTTACTCAAACAAATGAATATAGATAGTTGATCACGCAAGCACTATATCACTGTTGTGCCATGAATGTACACTTACTTCAAAATAGTTTGGTGACAATGCGTCTAGTTAACTAAGGGGCATGTTGGAGTAATGGCGGCTAATGTAAGGTCAACAGTCACCAGCTGAAGAGATTTTTTACGAACGGAAACAATAACTTTATAAATAAATGAATATATTTTTAATATCCCAATGAGTAGAAAATCTAATTTTTCTACATATTGGGATATTACAAATATATTCATTTATAGCAATCCACACAATGCTCCAATTATTCGGAACTAAGTCCAACCTTGGTAATGATAACTAATAACTCTTTCGCTGATAATTCTTGATTACTTACTTCTATACCTTGAACTTCACTGAATACTTTTGGGCAAGATTGTAAAGAACACAATGAGCTGGCAACTTCACCTGTAAGTAATTTCTTTCAGAATGATAAATACCTTTAAGTTCTGAATTGAATTTCAGGGAGCATCTAAAGTAAATCAAGAAGTGTGATGCATATTTGAACAGATTTTTAAAAATTGATTTTACAATTTAAGATTTATACAAGCGAAATATAAGAACAAATGTTATGTTGGTATACTTAACTGCGGCCTTAAATAACAAAAATAATAGATAAACATGGTTAGATACCTTACTAAAATTCTGAGACAAGATATGAAAAAGAACATTTCCCACAATAAAATAGACATGGTTTTTACGCATTGGCAGGAAACTAACGTTGCTTGTTTTGGAAAATATTGACATGTATCGGACGGACAAAAAGGTAATTCTCAGTATCTTATTATCAGTAACGCTAGAACAACTTTCGGAAATAAAGTATTTTTGTATGCTTAGTTGGAGTTTTGCTGAGTGGACAAGCAAGCATTTCAACTTTGTAGTGTTTGGTATTATCTGGGAGTCGAAACCGTTTCAGTGCCCTATTAGTCATTCGTTAATTCGACTTAACATTGGGTCCTTCATAATACTTTATGTTTAGGTATCTTTCATGCCTACTCTTCACTACCATTGATACTACTTCAGTGGTATTTCTTTCGATAATTTCATCAAGCTTTGATGATATGGTGCAACAACCTTGGGCCGATGTAGATTCGTACCAAGTCCTACATTGCTTGTAACTGACAGCTCTCATAGTTGCCGATAGGTGGTGAGGGACAAACAATTTTGATTAACTCACTCTACCCTATAATCAGCTTCCAGAAGATTGATGTTAAGTTATTGTTTGAACCAAAGAACCTATGTTTTGTTTAAATAAAGTGACATACTTTCCTGCCGTTTAAATTCATCAAACTGGATTAGAAAGAACAATAAACAGGTAAAACAGGCATCTATTATTAACCATTCATATATAATTGGCTGCTTCAAAAGCTGTAAATGGTACTCATAAAGTGCTAAGTACTTGTTAATTTTCAATAAATAACCATTTTCTAGTAGCTTGGCTGGTCAAAAGAAAGATCTACAGAATATAATTGTTCGATACTACGATGTTCATTGTAAGGTAACACTTTGGATTTACACAGAAAAAACCTATTGACATCTGATAGGGTAATTTTCATTGGTATAGTTAACAGGTAAAACAAACCATGACACTTTGGTTATTTGGAACTATCGACCACGTTTCGAACGCAAAGACCTTATTTTCGATCTTTGAAAAAACCTTAACGTTTAGAAAGCGACTTATGGGAAGTATTTGAATAATATTATAAGTCGAAGTTTAGGTTTTATGAGGTCCAGTGAACCGAAAAGATCAGTGCACCTTTGGTTTACCGTTCTAACGATTCGCCGATAAGAATGCTACTTGTGTCCATATCCCCCGTGTATATTATTTCGGCTACAGCTAGCGTCTTAATAATTATAGAGTAAAAATGTAAGTGGTAATAGTCCGTAAAGTAGTTTTGATAGTTACATTTCCAGTATTTGCTCAGTCACATCTGATAGATTTTGCAAGGTATAGTTATTCACGAAAAACAGACCCCTTTTTTAAGTAAAGACCAAGTGGGTAAAACTGCTTGAATCTATATGATGAGATTAAATATGTTAATCAGAATAGCACAAAATTGATTACAACTCACTTTGAACACGCTAATATTCGGTCTTCTCCTACATCAGCTTGAACGTGAAATTCCTCTGAAATGAGACCACCAACATTTCCTGGATCTGCACATGCTTGATTTAAAAAGAATGCCAAAGATGTTGTGATGTAACGGATGGAGTTAATAAATTATAACTTAAAGAAATGAAAAAGGATTGAGATTTAATTCAACAGCAAATTAGAAGAGACCTGGTGAAAGTTAATATGTATATGGTGTTGATGTAGTGCTTGTAGTTAACCACCAGACGTCATCTTTCTCCCATTACTTTTTAAGAACGTTTATAAAACCTTACTTTATTAATTATTCGCAACACCTTTTATTTTACCTTCAGACGTATATGAGACAATCTGATGACTACTGATTGTTCTTATGACTAAGACAATTCACTTTCATGCATATCGGCATGATCTCTTTTGAATATACATATATGTTTTGGATAACATGCAGATTTGTTGAAATCTATGTCACTTGTATGCAACGTAATAACGGGACGTATTTCAAATTTATTTCTCAATGGTGAATTGATATATTTAATTCGGACACCCGAAAATCGGACAACGGATGCTTATAGTAGTGATTTTGACAACATTTTAATGATGAGATTTTTAATCTGTCGAGTGATTTCTACTAACATAATACACCAGGAGAATATTCAGATACTTTTTGTGAGCTATCAAAGTAAACGCTCATTACCAACACCAACAAACTGAAGATTAAAGCTAGAATATATTCGTGCTTCACATCACTGCTGATTCGTTTTAAGGGTTCATATCTATGAAATACCCTAAAGTTCATATCATATTAATTCAGTGTTAGGAATTTAGATAGAACATAAGGGGATATATTACAAAAAATTAGGTGAACTGCAGTTACCAGTCAGTGGATATAGTTACACTTTATCAACTACTGTGCGGAAACTAACGAGGACAACAGGACTGTGCTTTAAATGAGTACTAAGTTGTGAGATCTAACAGTTAACTTTGAGGACTGATGTCACTTCCCGGCTGCCCACACCATGGAAGGATACTTCGTGAGGAACCTGAAAAGGAAGTCGGCCATAACGGCTCGGGAGCGTGACCGCATACCCTAAGGGACAACTGCTTGAGGCCGGTCGCGCACGGCCTTTTTGTGGGAGATTTTTAACGTGTTAGCTCCGTACTTCGAAGGGCCTTACCGCCGTGGACGGAATTCCGTGAGGTAAGGTTAGGTGTGACATTTTTGGGGTCGACCTTCTCTAACCCCTTCCTTCTTTGTGAGGAGGCAGCGTCGCTGCAGATGCTGGTTGTCCGAGGGAAACACTTTACTGCTGTCACAGCCATCTGCAGTCAGCAGTACGACTTCGCCCTAAGACCTTGAGTTGCTGCTTTTAATCTTACCATTCTCCAATCGACCTGCCTGGCATGGTAGAACATACAGGAACATATGTTCCAGCCAATATAGCTCGGTTGGATTATCACGATGGACAAGCCCGACCACCGCGTCAAGGTAGCAGCTAGGGTCGGGACTGATGTTACCAGCACAGCATCCAGAACTTAAAATCATGGGATGACAGCTTACTAAAAATGACTATACAAGTAGTTTTTATAAAAAAAGGATATTTTAGATAGTGTAGTCCTAGTGAATGATTGCCTTAAGATAATCAGTAGTTTATAATTTGCGAGTGACATCTATCGATTAACGTAGCACAATTATACTGAGGGACTAGCTACAAAAAGGGTCTGCTTACCAACTAGGTACGGTAACCCAAGGTTAACCAACAAGTCAGAATATGCAGTCTTCACACGTTTATACGTTTCCTCAGCTGTCTCGGCAGAAGCATCAAATGTGTAAAGGTCTGGAATTTAAGCAGAATAAAGTGACTGTACCTTGCATTAAAAACTCACGTCCCCTGACCAGACCATGTTTTGGGTGCGGTTCATCTCGAAATTTGCTGGTTATCTTGAAAACGAAAGTATTTTTATGTAGCTTACCTGATACATCAAAACAGGGAGGGACTTATACGACAAATTTAGACAGGCAATGAAATTGGTTATACATTCTTCATGTGTCTAACAGAATGTGAGGGAATTATATATTACTGGCTGTAAACAATACTCATGAGATAATCTGTCTTTGACTCTGAATAAGCTACTCTGCATGGTAGACCATCGACCTGTGCGGTTTATAATGACAGTATATATATATATATATATACATACCAGATTTTTCCCAGATGTGTCTCGGACCTAAAGTTGGGAGCAAAACACGCTGAGCTCCTAGCTGTAACATGTTATTGTCAACTAAACTTTCCAGCTTTCGCAGAGATCGCAGTACTTCAGGTCCAAATGCATACACACCGGTGGAGTCGGAAAAGATGAGACCATACAACCGCAGAAGCTACATTTTAGTTGGAAGTATAGAACAAAAAACCTTTTGGCTGATACAAAGAGTAGATGTTACTCCAGGTATGTTAATTAACGGGGGAAGGGAACGAGATAGAAACGTGAACACAGACATAAGAGGCACGTTAAGAAAGTTAAACCGTTTTAATGCCGCCCGCCGTTTCGTTCCAACGACCTTGACCAGCCTTACAAGAGGCGGTCATTGAGTACTTCAAGTGCAGTGGGTTTGTTGCGTGTCTGTTTGGTCACACAAATATTAAGTGTTCTCATATTTAGGTAGTTTTTCTGCTGCAGTAAAGTCACAAAATCACCGCGAAAAGCACTGATTTAGCTTTTTCTATTGTTGCTTCCTAACTTGGTCTGTGATACAAATGGCTCTACTGAACCTCACTGCCTTTTTAAACTTTTTGATCAAGTCCAGAAAACCACTCAACTCCTGAATCATCCGCCCTGAGAACATTTCGAATAACACTTCTAAAAACGTAGTCACAAGCTAGATTACAATAATTGGTTTGTGCACTTGCTTGCCCCGACTGTGCTCAGAGGGCGAAATGGTTCTGGACGGAATAGAGGGAGCCTTCGTTTAACGGATTTCCGTATCTAATAGTAGTAAATCATTGATGCCACCGGGTAAAATTCTAAATGTATTCGTGGGGCCATTGAGATTTCACTGAGCCTAAGACAAATCATCCGGTAGTTGGGTCACTGAATATGGGACAGATCATCGGTCCCTGTCAAAGTCAAGGACAGCCAACACGCATCATTTAATCGAATGTCATTAACTGGCCAATGCCATGGTGGTCTCACTATCTTCTCTGTACTCATTTCTACTAATATATTTCCATCATAACTTCCTTTGTGTTTTACGGATTTCAAAGCATCCATAATACCTTGATACGAAGGGGAATTTCACTTTAGGTGCTGACCGAGAGGCGTGCTTTCGACGTTAGCCGTTGATCATACCATTCTCGTCTAACTCCAGCAGGTCCGCAATCATCCGGCATAGATCATCTACGTTAAAGATCTGCATATTTAACAATGAAAAGAAAAAATGTTAATAAACTATAGTGAGATGTTGCCCCTAATCCTTGAGACTTCTCGGATTTCTCTTGGACTAGCTTAGTCGTCAGTGATTTCCAGGATTTGTCTACTCTTAAATTATGAAAAATGTGTCTACAGTCCGTTCTGTTTTGTTGCGTCTCTTGTTTCTGGATGCTTTATTTAAGATTTGTGTTAGAACTGAGCTTATGTAGGTATCTAAGAAGATATCCATAAGTCATTAAAAGGTCATCTCTGAGATGCCTATACTCTAGTGTGTGAAAGTACAATGATTGGAGGCACTCTTCATAAGGCTCGAATTCGAGTCCTCGAACTGATTTTGTAGCTCACCTTTGGATACGTTTCAGGTTACCCATATCGTTTTGAAATGAAGGCGGAAACACTATTTCTGCGCTCTAAATAGGACTGGATAAAATTGTTGAAGATTAAGGGGAAATTTCTGCCGTCGAAATGGCCAATTTGGAAAGAGAATTATTTCGGAAGCCTAAAAGTTCATTCCAAGAAATAAAAATAGCATGTATTAACTACGAGGCAGTGAATGGGCTTGATTTTCAATCAGTGAAAATTTATAATACTTAGCTTAGTCGTCGTGATGAAATTCATTCTCAATGACGTTCAAGCTCGCGTTTGGTTAATAATGGTTCTGATTCTCGTGAAAATATAAAAAGTGAGTTGCAAAGCAGGTTATAGAAGTGAGCACAGTTTTAGTAAATGCTTATCCTATGGTAGATTTCGCTTATGCAATTCATTTGTCTTTGTTATATCTAGAAGGCTGTTCTTGATATACCGCGTATAACGTGATCACTAGAACTCCAGGACGCTCCCAAGTCACAATGAGAAGACAGAAGACTGATAAAAGGAATATTATTCCCAGACAGTGTCAGTTATAGTACAAAATTGTCAGGTATTTATAGTTTCTAGTGAGAACGAAATCATCATTACAGTCCTCCAATCCACATACAGGGGAAGCTACATGTAGGAATTCGAGTATATTCTTCCAAAAGGTGATTGGATGAAATATCTTCGGCTCCTTCTCAGCCTCTTATAGCTTCTTCGAGTTCACTTGTGTTCCGTCATCACACCTTCCTCCCTTTAAACTCTGTTGTGTAAGACTTTTTTCTCGAACCCACCTGAAACTTGGTTGCCACATTCCTCTTGCGGTCCATCACTCTCGAGGGTTGTACTGCTTTGCCCTTGTGTCGTTTACATCTTCTATGTTTGCGCTCCTGAGGGCGATTCTGAGATGAATCTACGAGCAATTGAAATGGGAGTCGGCTTTCTGGGACCACTGTACTGCCGTTTCTTTGCATTTGATTTATGTGTCTTATACATTTTCCGACACCTATCCGGACTACGTACAGTACGTTTCCAATTCGACGTTCTATGACACCTGGTTCCCACTTCCTATTACCTTGATACGATTTGAAAAGTACCTTTTCACCCACCTGGAAGCTACGAGTGACCGTACGGTACTCATTCGTGGGTTTATTTGTCTTTCTGGGTGGCAATATACTGTTAAAGACTGTCCGGATTTTCCTTCCGAGCATACACTCGGCTGGCGACTTTCCTTCTGGTACTGCCGGATTAGGGGTAACTCTGTAAGACATTAGGAACTTACTGATCATTTGTTCTGGGGTACCCTAACCTCCCCCTTTGATCAGAGCTCTTTTTATCGTATCCACGAATCTTTCTTCTTGGCCAGTCGACTGAGGATGATACGGAGATTTTCACTGCGAAAGCGTTTGAAAGCGGATGACAAACTGAGTACCGTTGTCGGTCACTAAGAACTCTGGAACTCCGGAACAAGCAAACAATCCTGACAATCTTCTTATTGTACTCTCTGATGTCGTTTTCGGCATGTCATATACTTCTGGCTATTTTGTGAAAGCATCGACAACAACTAAGTAGTTTCTACCTTGTATTGGTCCGGCGAAATCAGCATGTATTCCTTACCAAGGTCCGTGCGTTTTGGGCCATGGTTGTGGTTCAGCTTTCGTTTGATTCTTCGCAGCCTCTAGACAGGACCAACAACTGGGACATTTTTGTTCTTTATCATGGTCCATTGACGGCTAGTATGCATAGCTGCGAGCTAGTGATTTCATTTTATTTGTCCTCGAGTGCCCACTGTGGAACTGCATAATGACTTGGTGTCGAAGATTTCTGACGATAACGATACGGTGGCCAAACATAATGCACGAATCGACAACTGTTAAGGACTCTCATCGACGAAAATATTGTAAGAGATCTCCATGCAGTCTAGATGAAGGCCACTTGTTGAGTATGCAGCGGCGAACAATCTTCAATGCATTATCCTTCTTGCTAGCTTCTTTAATGGCTTCGAATGTGACCGGGAGTCAGGAAACTGCGTCTGCCAATACTTTGTGAATCTCAGCCCCAACATCTATGGCAGCTACAAGCACCTCCTCTTCTTGTTTTGCATGTGAACCAATCGATCTTGAGAGGGTATCTGTCTGTCCAAAATCCGTTGTCGGTTGGTACTTTACCTTGAAATCATAGCCCAGCAGTGTAGTTGCCCATCGCTGTAGACGGTTTGCTGTATATACAGGGATACCTTTTTGGATCCAAAAACTGTCAGTAGCAGTTCATGGTCTGTTAATAAGGTGAACTGTCTGCCAAACAGCATCTTGTGGAACTTTTTTACAGCAAATATAATGGAGAGGGCTTCTTTAATGCTTAATGCCTTAAGTGTGGCAAAATAGGACATATGAAGTCGGTCTGTAAAGCTACTGTTCAACTCGCCACTAGTGATGATAAACCTTCTAGTTTTGATTTTGTTAAGTCGGGTGTTTCTAATGATCAGTTATCTTTATTCACGACTTCGAAAAGTAATTTCCATATTCAGAAGCGATTACGTACCACCCTTGATCGATTCCATAATATTATTGTTAACACAGGCAGTATAGAGTCCCTTCTTTCATTGAAAAACTTAAAATCTCTAGATTCTAGCTTTGTAGTACGACTCGCTGAAGACCCAGTATTGGGGATACTGGAAACAAACTGCCTATACGAGGGTTGTATGAATTGCTATTTAATGATGATAATTCCTAATATATGCCTTATGAATTCTAAGTTATTGAAACAAGACCGTTAATACTAGTTTTGAAAAATTTAGAAAGGCTTAAAGTTTCTAAAGAAAGTTCTGATGCTTTACTTAAGGATTTGGAAGCTGCCTATGCTAACTACAGTAGAGGGATGTGAATTCAACACATCGAACTTCAAGTACAGGGTGATTCAGTCTTTCTTAAAGGACGAATAATTCCATATGGTCTCCGAGAAACAGTACATAAGATATTGAATGATTTGTGTACAAAAAGTATCATTGAACCTATTCAGTCTGTTGCACAGGGTACTCCTATTGTTACGCGATTGCAGTTTGATGGAAAGACCCCTAGAATACGCGGTGGCTGTAGATTAACACCGAGCTCCAGTTTGTTGAAGCAAACGTGTACAATGGAGGAAGCTGAAGATATTCTTAGTCGACTTCATAGGTCTAAGGTATTCTTGAAATTCGACTTAAAAGATGCTCATCTTCAAATTACTAGGGTCAATTTTCATCTAGTTCGACTACAATTAACACTCTTTTTAGTCTATTCAAATACAAGTTGATCTCCAGTTATATTCGAGGAAGTGATGAATGATGAATTACGTGATCTTAAAGGTGTTGAAGTCTATCAACATGATCTTACTATTGATGGTTCTGATAAAATAACTCATGAACAGTGACGCATTGCTTTGTTAAGTCGTTTGATTGAAAAAAATGCATCTAGCTTTGAATGTCTTGGATATCCAGTTGATGGTGATGCTTTTTAACCGGGTTTCAAGCGAATAACTCACCAACAAATACCCATCTTTGGGAAACCTTACAGAACTGCGTTCACTTGTGGGTACTCTTCTAAACTATTTCCGTTTTGTTCCTTAGTTTTCTTGTCGTGATAATTGTTTGTTTCAAACATTGACATCCATTTCATTTAAATTGGATGAGGAACAAGGGTCGTGATTACTCAGTCAACTAAACTTTCTTGAAAGTGATGCTCTTCTTCGAACCTGCTCCCCCCTAATGTATACCTTGTACTAATCACTGATGGATCATATGTAAGT